TCAAATTGAATATGTCATATAAGATGTGATTCAGCACAGCATAATATAAACAGACAGTAGTGGTAGAACAATAAAAAGGAATTGTTTTTCTCAAGCTTTCTGAGATCCTCAAGGAGCATGCTGTTAAATTAATATCTCACCCAGCCTGATCTTTTTGGCTGTCCTAATAAAAAGAAGCCAAGGTAAGGGCAGATACCCTTGTCCTAAAATACCTAACTCTTGTATTTACCCACAGGATTCTCATTAAATTGCATGATTGTCTACTTGAAAGTGGTTGTTAAAGTTTAAACTTCAATTATAATCAACAAATTATAATTTAATTTACATGTTATATTTGCTTCTCTTCTTTTGTATTTCTGAATAATTCTAATTCCACAAACAAGACTTTTTACCTGAGATCCTATTTAAAGTCTGGTGTCTTTGGACCAAATCTGCTATTAATTGCTCAAAAATCTGTTCTTAAAATATTTCTCTTTGCCATCTCTAAATTCAGCATCACACACAACACTGCTTTAAGTTTCCTCTTTACTAGCTAACCAGGCTTTATCTGAATCTATTCTTCTCAAACCTATTGTTTTCTGGATTGAGAGACAAGGAGGTGGGCAAAGTCTAGTCTAGTTTGTCAGTGACTTCAAAATATGCGCAGAAAAATAGTTAAGAAAAGAGGTAAAATAGAGGTTAGCTAAAGTGACAAGGATGGATGAAGTTAAAACTCTTAGCATTCTTTGCAAGATACAGTCCACAAATTTCATAAGGTCACAAGATTAAGAGTGAAATCCTATGCATGCTTTGGCAGAAATAAGGCCAACAACTTGCAGCATGCCCCAGCCATCTGAGAGTGGTGGACATTTTTTTCTGTTGGATTGCAAAGGATTGGATGTTGAATGCATAGGATTGAGCCTCAGAATTATTAAGGAAAGTTGTTAGAATGCAAGACTTTTAAGTTCAAGAAGGTAATATCTTAAACTGGAAGAAAACATGACAAAAATCCTTAAATAAGTGTGCAAAGATTTATGGGATAAGAATGAATCTAACAGAAAACAAAAGTGAAATGAAGTTCCTATTTTTCCTCTAGTATCCATGACATACCTATTCCTAGAACATCCACAGTGACTTTTTCTACTTGGGTGTATATGAAGTTTAGTTGCCCATTGTTGCCAGTCAGCTTTTATAGATGACCATGAGCATAGCTGGTGTTTTATTTATTAACATATATTTTGAAAAAAGTTATTACATAGCAAGAAGGGTTGGTTCCATGGCAAGTTTTCTGTTGAGAGAAAATCTTACATCATTTGAGAATTATGAACAGAAAACATAGTATATCCTTAAAAACATATGGCCCATGTCAAATATTTGCAACCTAGATATGGATAAACAGTGTTAATGAATTCTTACTGTAGTGCAGCTGTAATTTTAGTCACATTGTGTCTTCTAAAGAAAGTCTACAGTGCCTGGCAGGAGAAGCCTTTGTTTGCATGCATCTGGGAAACAAATAATGGGATACTGCATGTTTTGTCTCTGTACTCCAATCTCCAGATAATATTAGATGGCTCTACTATCCTATAGCCTTTTCCAGTTTCCGTATTTCTGTGGTAGTTGCTATGATTGCTTCCTTATTTCTAATTAGGAGACCATTTGATGCACAGAAATGGGTCAAAACATATTGTCTTTTAGGCTGCACATATTGCTCCACTTTTTTATTTTTTTGTTTTAATTTTGACACCAAACTTGAAAGCATGCACTTATTAAAGCCCAATCTTATGCATATGATCATTGTGTTATAGCCAGTATCTCTAGTGGAGACTGGTAGAAACCATAATTATGCATAATGAGTCCATGATAATTGAGTGATCTGAAATGAGAGAGAGGATATGATCACTCAGCGGATTCCAATATAAAGTTTCTACATTCAGCAGTGCTATGTAAGCACATTGATTATGTCCTGGATGTATGCACTATTGTACTTGATGTTAGAATAAAGGTTTGGTGGGAAATCTATTTTAAGGTGCCTTGCTTGTCAGCAGCAGCAGTAGTATAAGTAGCAAATGAAGAAATAGTGTGCCAAATTGTTTACACGTTTGTCTTATTGCACTAATATTCACTTGCTCAAGTATACACCTTGAGTAAAGGAACTCAGAGAGTAGCCATGCATGGGATTGTTCTAGTGAATGCCCAGAATGACTAGACTACCTTCTGGTCTTAAGGTAGTCATGATTCATTTGTTGTATTGCCAGCTGGAGTTTAGCTGAATGGGTGAAGTGAACCTTAGTAGTCCCAATCTAGTTTTGTATTTTTTGTGAGCCGTCCTGAGGCTTTGTTGCGATGGGGGCGGCATAGAAATGTTTTAAATAAATAAATAAATATTTGTAGAACCAGGAATTCTTAATCTTCAAATGAAGCTTCAGAATAAGGTTTACAGACAACATTTCTATCTAACTAGTAATGCTATCTTAGATGCAGATTGTTCATGGTTTAAATTTGGATGCTCTTATATCCTCTGAGGCTCTCAGAAGATATTTCTGTAAAAGGTTATTGGCTAGGAACTGATGTCATACTAACTGGTCTGTCATTCCCAGGATCCTCCTTTTTGAAGACAGGGAAAACATTAGCCCTCTTCCAGTCATCTGGCACTTCACCCATCCTCCAATTGCTATTCCACTTATAGTTTCAGAATGGAAGAGCAGTGCTTAGTTAATGTTTGGAGACATTCATCAGAAAGCAGAGGCTGCATTCAGATACAATACTGAGCCATAATTTTAACCATGGCTTATTAAACCTGTCACAGAGGCTTTCCTTTCCATCATATTGATTCATCCTATAAAGGTGCAGGCTTTGCTTCATTGAGGGACAATCCTGACCAATTGGCAGTACCCTCTGAACTTGAAGGATGAAAGGTATCTTGTGCAGGCCGAAAGGAGTAGAAGGTTACCTCTGTGCTGTTCCATCTAAATGTTGCACCTCAGAACATAAGCAAAAGAGGCTGAGACACCAATAGGATATTTCATATCTTGGCAGTGCCTGATTTCTTATCTCCTGGCCAGAAGTTACATAAAGTGGTTGAATGGAGAACATCTGTGTAGTTCCACTGCTACATGATCTCTGATTAACTACACTTGTTTCTGGAAAGCTCCTGAGTTTGCTGGAGAACATATTTAAACAACATAAAGACCAGGAGTTATCAAAAACAGCTCTGAGATAAAGTTGTAAAGAAGCATTAATGAGGGTTGGTTATTTTAAAAAAATCATATGAACCTATGGTTGCCTCCTGGAACAATGCTAAATTCATTATTACAAAATGGAAAAAATATGGCTCAACTGCAGTTCTGCCTAGAGAAGGCTGTCTACTAAAACTCAGTGAGTGGGTAAAGAGCACACAGGCCAATGGTAACTCTGAAGGAGCTGGAGACCAAGAGGCCAATGGTAACTCTGAAGGAGCTGGAGAGCTGCACAACAGAGACAGGAGAAACTGTCCATGGGGCAGCGATCACCTGGGCGCCCCACGTAGCTGGATTTTATGGAGGAGTGGCCAGCAGAAAGCTGTTGTTGAAACAAACCCACATCAAAGCCCATTTGAAGTTTGTGGAAAGGCATGTAGGAAACAACAAGCATATGGAAAACTGTTCTCTGGTATGATGAGACCAAAATTGAACTGTCTGGCTTTGCTGCAAATTGCTGTGTGAGGCACAAAACTGGTAGTGCTCATTGCCCTGAGAACACCATCCCCTCATGATGGTGGCCGTTGTAGCAATGTTTTTATTCAGCAGGGACTGGGGAATAGGTCAGCACTGAGTCGAGATGCAAGGAGTTAAATAAGGAGCAATTCTAGAGGAAGACTTGTTTCAGTCTGCACGGGACCTGGGTCTAAGGTGGAGGTTCACCTTTCAGCAAGACAGTAACTTTGAACACACGGCCAAATTGACTCTGGAGTAGTTTAAAAACAAGTACCTGAATCTTGTCTTAGAATACCCAGCCCTTGACCCTTTCAGGATCTGTGGCAAGACCAGTGATCCCCATCCAAAGATGACAGGCCTGAAGCTCTCAGAAAGAATGAGCAAACTTTGTTGGATGCAGATGTGCAAAGCTGGTAAAAACTTACCCCAAAAGACTCATAGCTGGAATTCTAGCCAAAGGTGCTTGAATGTAGTATTAACATGGGGTAAATCAGTTGACTTAGAAAGTACTAGTTTATTTTGGTTTACTTCATTTTTGTGCCACAATAAAATATTTGTAGCTTTCCAGTTTTGAGTATCTTGTGTATATCAAGTGGTATCCATCTCAAATCCATTTGAATTCCAGATTGCAACATACCAAATTGTGGAAAAGTCAAGGGCCAGGGGGAGGTCATTTCTTCTGCAATGCTTTGTAGCTTTGGTTAGGCAATAGTCTGTGGTGCTTGTAAATAGCCACTGGCATGTGACAAGTGTATTAGGACATAATGCCATTTTATGGCCACATTAAAAGTAGTTGTGTAAGCTCAGAGGGATTTAAAAAAAACAAACCGCTGACCATTTAACATGAGATTTCCAACAGGCTGTGTTGGGTGGTGGAATTTTAACTTAAATTTGCTGTAGCTGCTAAAAGCTAATATATTGAGTGGAGGCCCTATGTAGAAAGCTGTCAAAGGTTTCAGTAGTGATGTTTCCATGTAGCTGCCAGAATGGCAAGAATCAGTTCCTGAGTCTCTGTTCTGTGATTGTATATTATTGGCTGTGGCCAATGTTGGAGCTCTCCGGACATTCTGGTTCATCTATGGACCAGGCAATTCTTTCTTCTTACAGCTGTATTATTATTATATTGTAATACTGTATACAGTATTTTTACTGTATAATACTGTTTATATTACTGTATAAACCATGTTATGGTTTCCCACATGGGTAGCATAATATGAGACTCCGCCCTCTGTTGTATATGCAAACTATGTGTAAAGCAACAGCCTCAAAATGCAATTACCCATCTATGCATTTATTGGTTGCAGGACATATTCCTTTTGTATTTTGTAGATCGAATTCAGTTACCAAGGAATATGATTGAAAACAGCATGTTTGAGGAAGAGCCTGATGTGGTTGATCTGGCTAAAGAGCCTTGCTTGCATCCATTGGAGCCTGATGAAGTGGAGTATGAACCAAGGAGTTCTCGGCTTCTTGTACGTGGTCTCGGAGATCATGAAATGGATGAAGATGAAGAGGATTATGAGTCATCAGCTAAACTTCTGGGAATGTCTTTTATGAATAGAAGCACTGGCCTGCGTAATAACTCAGCTGGTTACAGACAGAATTCAGATGGGTCGTGTTCTGCGCCATCTGTAAGGACCACAGTGATCTGTGCTGTTGTTTTGGTGATAGCTGTCTCTGTAATAATGGCAATCTATCTTTTCCCCAAATGTACCTTTACCAAAGAAGGCTGTCACAAGGAGAACCATACAACAGATGATACATATCCTTTTGCAACAAATGGAAAACGCTTTCCGTGGGCACAGTTTAGGCTTCCTAGTTACGTTGTGCCAGTGCATTATGATATTGTCCTGAAGCCAAACCTAACCACTAAGGTATTTTCAGGTTCTGTTCAGATAACTGTGGAAGTTCGCCAGGTAACTTGGCATGTAATACTGCACAGCTCTCATCTTAATATTACCAAGGTAACCCTTACTTCATCAAGTTCAAGCCAGCCAAAATCAGTGAAGCTCCTGGAATACCCAACGAATGACCAGATTGCAATTTTGGCTCCAGAGGCTCTCCTTACAGGACAGCAGTACAATATCAGCATGGAGTATTTCTCTGAGTTATCAGACACTTATTTTGGCTTTTACAGAGTCGCCTATAAGGACAACAATTCAACAAGGTAAATTTGGAAAATCATTTATTTCTATCTAGTTTAGAATATACTTACTTAAATATAAAATATGAATTAGTCCTGTGAGTGAAGCAGTACCCACATTTGAATATTTAATTCACTTACTTAGCATCAAACTGCATGAAGGTGTGGACCAAAATAACTGTTTCCTTTAAGACTGACTAGCCCACAGCCCAACTAAAAATAGGCCTACTCCTCTTCCTAGTTTTCAGTAGTATCCCCAAGGAATCCCAGGGTGAGAATAAAACACTACTATTCCTTGATTAGAATCAACACTATTCTCATTTTTTTCTTTTAGAAATATAAGCTAACTTTCATATAAGCTAGATTCAGAAACCTTGTTTCTCGGTCCTTTGATGATCACAGGGTAGATGTAGCAGTGCTCTTGTTCCCTGTGCTTCTTGTAGAGTCTATTGTAGGATGGCTTCTCTTAGTATTTGGTAGGCAGTTGGTCCTCCAACCTCATGGCAGCTGCAGAACTTTTGGGATGCAGTTTCCATTACTTCCTTTCACTTGGTGTTCTCCAAAGGGAAGCTGTATGAAAGGATGCAACGCTTCTGGAAGGTACCCATTGTTGCATCCAAGCTCTGCACTTTCCAAAGGGAAAGGCCAAGTGTTGGGCTGGGAGTGCACCCTCCTTAAACTATTCCACATGCCTTCTGTTAGCAGCATCCTGTACTCATTCCATGCAGTAGTTCCTGAGGGGAGCACAGGCTGTTATGTGCCACTTGGTGAAGGCACAGAGCACCTTGGAGCAGCAGCACTCACTTAGCCCACTCAGTCTTGCCCAGTGGAGCAGGTGGATGTGCTGGACCCTGTGAGCAGGATTAAATTTGGGCACAGGTTTTCTTTTGCTGTAAATGGACCATGTTGTCAGAATGTGAAAAACTCAGGTTGACACTGTTCCTATACTTCATTGATAACAGCTCCCAAAGTTAGTGGCCTCGAAGAGCTTCTTTCTTGACTACTTTTTACTCCTAAGAGAAGGCTCGTTTGTGTAAAAGCAAGCAAGAAAATTTACAGTCTAAAGTCGCAGTAGGCTGGTGGAGGAGGGACAGAACAGTGCTTCTCCTTGCTTACCCCATCTAGCTTCCGTAGTAGCTGTAGGAGGAGTGAACTCCTTTCCTTCGAAGCCAAGTAGACCGTGGCGCAGAAACAGAGTCTGCTCTCTTTTCTTTGGCACCATGCTCATTTGCCTGGAGGGCATTCCTTGCATTCACCTTTTTGTGGTTCCAAATTGCCTATAGAGACCAGGAGAATAGCAAGACAAGTACTGACACGCAAAACTGGTGTTAAAAAGTGTGTTGGTTTATATTACAGTGCAAAAATAAATTTTGAATGATTGTTTAGGAAACTTTAATGTGAATAAATGTTCCAGTGTGGTGAACTCAATAGAAAGTACAAAGTTGGGTACAATGTTTGGAAGGCTGCGTACAGGTGATAATGTAATAGCTGACAGGTTTTTCCCAAAGCTGTTGGTTCTATGGAGGGGATTTGCAGTGTATATTCTAACCATTAACTGTAAACCCAATTCAGACGTTAGCTCTCCTGTAAACTTGGATAGATTGAAGCATGTCTCACTGATATGGCATAATATTGGCCTGCCTTAAATAATACTGTCTGAGGATTACTAAGAAATATGTGATATGTTTTGAATACTCAAAGTACTGTATAAAGGTTTTTTTTAATGTTTATAGCCTGAAAAGATCAGCAATTGTAAGTAAGGGCATCTGAGTTAGATAATGTTCTAATTTGTTTGGTGTTGGGCATTTTAGGGGAATTAATTCACTGCATTATTGGACATTTTTAAGGAGAATTTATTGCAAAATTTAGAATGACTTTAAAGTAACAAAATGTTGTATCTTATTCACTAAGTTTTTCCTCCTTGTGGAAAGTATGTATAGAACTTAAAATTAGGGAATGTACAGTCATATTTGTTGTTGGTTAACAAGTCTTGAGAAAAATGCAAATACCAAATCACTTGTAGTATAGAATAAATGTGTCAGAGTCTTGTTTTTCCTTAGTTAATACTTTTGGAAAACAGATGTTTGACAATGTGGAAGTCTCCTTAGAGCAAGTGTATATGTGATCATGGAAAACAGTTTTAAGCATCATAGGTACACATGTTTTATATAAAACAGGGGAAGTACATGGGGCAATTTGAGGTAGGATATTTAGAATTTTACATAATACTCTAGTAATACAGCCAACGGGTATTTGTAAGACTTTTGACACTGTAGCAGTTGCCTTTCTTGAACAATAAGTAACAATCTTCAAAATAAATTTTTCTACTACTGTGGATATGTGGCAATATTTTAAAACTTCTAAATGTATTTGATTCTTTTATGCATCTTTTCAGATGGCTTGCAGCAACTCAGTTTGAGCCCTCAGCGGCAAGGTTAGCTTTCCCCTGCTTTGATGAACCAGCATTCAAAGCAACTTTTCTAATCAAGGTCACGAGAGAAAAGCAACATACTGCTCTGTCCAATATGCCGAAGGTAAAAGCATGCTTTACTCATTCTTGGGGAACAGGTGTCCTTCCTGCTGTGCCATGGTATGTTCATTATTTTTGCCAGAAGAGGAGACGTTCACTTTCTGGTGCAGAACTTGCTATGCTGAGATTCTGTGCTTTAGTCTTTCATTGTGGAGAAAAACTTCCAGCCTGTGGCCATTGTCTGGTGAAGATAACTTAATAATAACAGCAGAAAAACCTTGCTAGATAAAAGGTCCATCCAAGCTAATATTCTGTTTTTGACCATTACCATCTGGCCTTTCAGAAATCTGCTAATAAGACGTTAAGGAAATAGTCCTTTCCAGTTCATCTTTAGTGATAGATATTGCATTAATTTCCACTTTTCCAGTGAATCTGTAGTTCCCTAACTGTACCATATGACCTGTGATGATGCTGCACAAATGCAGACAGGTTATGCTCTGTGCCACTATGGAAACCCTGGATAGTTCCTTGGTTATTCTAGTGTTGTGTGTACTGTGGAGTACAGTGAGGGAAATTTTTCATAAATTAAATAGAGGATGTGACAACACAATTCTGCCGATATGATATGGCTTTGAGAAGGTAATGACACATAGGAGTTCAGGATCAGTCTTAATTCAGTGACTCTTTGCATGGCACGATAACTCATTGTAAGCAGCTAGGCACAGTGACCTAATTGGCACAACCTAACAACGTACCATGGACAGTGACCCATAGCTGGTTGTCAATGTCATGTAAACCCTGCCTTTTTCAGATAAGGCACCCTGAGAATCCATGAGCTGCTCCAAGGGTTGTTTTGCACACTGTGGGTTGTGTTACACCAACCCACATGACTGATGTAACATGGTTAATGTCCAGCAGCCCATGAGATGCTCAAAAAGAGTGGCAGAAACCCCTTGCTGGTCTTCCCAAGCTCACCTTGGGCCACCATTTGTATCAGTCATCTCTGATAACTGGTTTGCCTGGTTTGCTATCTTCCCCACCATCAAGAGTAGTTTTCAGTTCCCCACAGCTTATATACATTTTAAACTCCTTTTGGAGATTGTGAATGGTGGCTTGAGAGCTCTCATTCATGGTCCCTGTTTGACAGCCACTGACAGCCCCTTCCAAGTGCCTGAGCAGTATCTTGGAGAGTCTGTCTGTGGCTGGCAAGCATTATAAAAAGAGGAGAAAAATTCCAGGACTCTAGATTTTCAGAAAAGTGCTAAAGTGCATCCAGCTCCCTTTCTTAGAAAAAGCAATTTTGACAGCTAGCTGCCTAAGTTTTGGCCCCACTTCAAAAGTGAGTTTTGACCTGACTGTATATGTCCCAGTCAAAAAGTCCCAGTTGTCAAAAATTCCTTTTCTAGAAGAAAAATAAGGGATGGATCATTTGCGGACTTTCCTGAACATCCAGAGTCTCAAGGAAAATAGTAAAAACTCTGCATCATCCCAAGGACTGTTGAGGATGTGAACAGAAGATCTTGCTGTGAAGGTGGTATAAATCCCACTATCCCCATTTACGAACATAAATCACTTGTCCTTTGGTTTGGCTTGGCAGTTCACCTTTGACAGCTACCAAACCAAACCAGAGGGGAAAATCTCTTTAGAACATATTGGGCCAATGTCTAGCATGTGTGCTTGTTGCCCTTTGGCAGCAGGCACCCCTCCAAAGTTACCTGTCCAAAACTTCCCGTTCTCCACCTGTGTTTTTTGAAAAGGCTGTCAGTGGTTGTCAAAATGAGGATCATGAAAACCAGCTGTCAACCTACCTTCGCTGGTTTTAGAGAAAAATTAAAATGCAAATCAGTAAATAAATGCATTTGGTAGCCTAGAGCAGTTCTCAGTCATAATAGAATGGAGAGATGACTCAGTCCTGCCATGATTTCCCCTGGGATACTGCCTGTGGGCCCAAGGGAAATGAAGGGAGCAAACAACAACCAGTGAATCCAGTCATCTGTTAGGCTCACAGTGGGTTGTTCCCAGAACAACTGGTGTGAGTTTTGTAGAAAAGGTATACACTGGAAAATTTTCCAGTGCTCTCAATAATAACTGATTTAGTATGTATGTTTGACTCATTTTTAGTTGCCAACACAATTATTGAGGATATTTGGCGTCCTCAGTAAGCACACAAAATATCTCACATTTTGAGGTCCATGTCATCCATGTCCATTTTGTGTACAGTATAAATATATCAAGAGTTTTCCCAATAACTGCAAATTCAATTTGAATTGAAATACTAGAGGGAAATTGAATTATCCACACAGTATAGTTTAAATGTTTTGTTCAAATATGTCCAAAGATCTATGTGGAAATTATTTTATTGGAATATTTGTAAAAATGCAAATATATTAGCATATACTTCCTGATATTTGTTATATTTAACAAAAATGTACCTGAAAGAAAACACTATTTTTAGGATATATCAGCTTTCTTTGGATATTAGATATCTATTTGGATATTTATTTCTTAGCTCAGCAGTTGATTTTCTTTTGCTGAGTTGACTTCAGCTTTCACTCTCTCTCCCTGCAGTGTTTCTTGGGTCTGTTTCAAATTGAGAAAAAATGTTATTCTGAAGAACTAGTTGAACATTCTAGTTTCAGGCTGGGGAATGTGGGCAGGAGGGTGCTTTTGCTTTTATGTCCTGCTCATGAGATCCCCCGGACAATCAGTTTGCCACTGTGTGAACAGAATGCTAGTCTAGAATGCAGATCCTTAGTCTGCTCCAGCATGGCTGTTCTTACATTTTTGTGTTCTTCAGGGAAACAAACTGTAAGCACAGTCTTATTTCGAGATTGTTTTTTTTTAGCTTGTCACTTACAAATGTTAGCAGTAGCAGGCCAGGATCCAACTGCAGTATGCACTGGAATAGGTTGCCATACCTTATTTCTTCAGTTCCTCCATTGGCAACTGAGCAGTAGGGTTTTGCAGTGCTTAACCTAGGAGAATAAGAAAATCTTATCCTGTATTCAGCCCATTTAATGTGATTGATTATAACACCGCAGACAAATATGAAGACACACCAACACACATGTGGAAATTTTTCCACGAAAAAATAAAGCATTGGAAAATGTTACAGATTTTTTTTCACCCCATATCAGTGTAGCAATTTGACAGTTTATCGCCAGGGTGTGTTACTGAAGTGTGTAAACTTGTCTGTTGGGTTGTCATATACAGACCTGGATCATGTCTCGCAGCGTGGCTTGTTTGTGGTCTAGATCTGTATGACATGATAGCCTATGGTTAGAATTTTAGTGGCAAATCAATAGACATTCACAAAAACATGGTTTAGAAATCCTCTTAGAGGATTTTTCTACTTGGCTTGGCAAATGCAGTGTATATTGTAGAGAATCTGCTAATATTGGAGAGATCTCAAATTCAAGGTATTTTTGGTGGTAGAAACACTGAAAGTTCTGAAGAATGAAAAAGTTTGGGAAAAACTGAAGGTTGGAAAGAAGTCAAAGGCTGGCAGATCAAAGAAGTTTGCTTTCCCAGTGAAATGTTAACTGTGTAGCAGGGTGATTAGCCACTCTGCTTTATGAAACCTCTATTGTAAATACCGGGTACCTTCAAATTATCTATAATCTGAAGACTGTTGCTTGTATTAGTTTTCTTTATTTAATGTTCTTTGTGTAGTGTGCTTACTTGGTCCATACCAAACTGTTACGTCTTGACATGGTAGCACACTTGTATGGATTTGTAATTAGTAATGAAAATTGGAGAGAAAACTCAAAACTCCATTTGGAAAAAAAAATGCTTGCACAGCTTAACCACATATCATCAGCAGCTTGTTTACACTTATTGCTTTTGCCCAGTCTGTAAATCTGTAGCCATTCTTGAACAGAAGTAACTTCTTGAGCTAATACCAATGAATTAGAGATTATATATGCATTGTGATCTCATGCTATCATGAAATTAATTGGGTCTGCTTGGGTAAAATAATGAAACCACATCAAAGTGTGTGTGTGGGGGGGTAGAAAGTGTTGCTTTTCTTCTAAATAGATTTTCTGATGTTGCATAGCCAATAATACTGTCTATGTGATGAAAGCTTAAAACCAAAGCCAAGTGATGGCAGTGCTTCCTAGCCTTGTTCTGAATGAACTTCCTCTTTATGTTAACTTTTCCCCCCCTTCATGGGAGTGTTTTCCGGGAGAACAAAATTCTTCATAAAATATGCTACCTACTGCTTTGTTTGAGCTCTAGCAGGTGAGCTGCTCTCTATTGCGCAATTAATAGATAATGATTTCTACTGTCTTGATTTATTTTTATGCTGTTAGGGTGACACATGCATGGGAAACATCAACACCCTATATATATTGCATATTATTGCACATTCTGAATTGTATACTTTTTCATGTGCTAATTTTCTGAGCATCTGAACATAGAGGTAACTGACTCTGACACTCCTGTTCCATGACCTCCAGATTTTTATTTGCATAACTAACATCCTGCCATCTTTTTTTCATTTCTAGAAAGCAATGAAACCCCTGGCAGGTGGGTTAGTGCAAGATGAATTCTCTGTGAGTGTGAAAATGAGCACTTACCTAGTAGCCATCATTGTTGGAAACATGATCAATGGTTCAACTAAAGAAGCAAATGGTGTTCTGGTATGTATACTTTTAAATCTTGCCAATAAACTTACTGTTTGCATTTTCTGGGTATGTACTGAGGTAAATGATGTTCCCCAGTTTGTGTCAGCACACACTGTCAGAAGTAGATTATGGTTGGTCCAGGCCAGGAAAGCACAATCAGCCAACTCTGCAGCTGCTTTTTTTGTCATGATAATGATATCTCAGATTATCATTAAGAGATATCAAGGTTCAACTGAAGCAATCAAGCTGGGCAAAGGCTTACTTGCCAGCCTGCCAGAGCTGGGAAAAATGTATTAAGAATGACCTTATAGAAAGAAGAATGGATGCTCACTCAGTTTGTTTCTGTTGGCACAGTCAGGAACTAACAGGTGGCTGAAATACAAAGTTTTTTGTGAGATGGCAGTGAGTTTCCCAAGTGTTTTGCTTGTGTTTTTTCTTCCATTTGGGAAGACAGGCTTCAGTCTTTCCCATCTCTCATGATCAGTTTTCTTCTGCAGAAAAATAACTGCCCACTCCCGGATGAGTGGGGTTATGCAGAACTAAACTGTAGAAAAGAGTATATTAACTACATAAAAACTGCTCCTATGTCATCAGAATTTAACTCTTTTGAGATGTCATGCTGTGGAAATTATTCTGCCTTTCATCTTACTGCTTGTCGAACAAGTAAAAAAAGTGTCCTTAAAATGCCCATTGAAACTTCTAGAAATGAGTTATCTTCAACATTTTATTAGTAACTGTACACAGCATTTTCTCTAACAATATAAACAAAGAAAACAGGTGACTCTTGTTGAAGGTTTTCCTCAATTTTTACCTGTCTTTTTTCCTTCACTTTTGTGATAGGTATCCATCTACACCTTACCAGAAAAACCAAGGCAGACTGAATATGCCTTAGAAACAGCAATGAAGCTACTTGAGTTTTATCAAAAATATTTTAATGTAACATACCCTCTTCAAAAATTAGGTGAGATTATTTTCCTGTGGAACTGTCTGATGTAACAATTTAACAGAAATCCATTGTTTGATAATTTTTTAATGTTGCAGGTTGAACACAATCCTTGAATCACTTTTTTGTACACATCTGCCAGTCAGACATAATTACACTAAACTGTATATCAGAGGGCAATCTCCATCAAGGCTTCTCTTTGTCTCTGCTGGTTTCCTTGTGCTTACAGGTTCCCCTACTTGTACAATGGAGCTTTTGCGCTTCTAAAAATAACCCCAGAAAAAATAGTTTTCTGGATTGAGACAGGCCAGCAGAGTTTTCATCTGTGAGATCCACTGGCTTCCCCGTCCTGTAAACTGGTGTCTTTGGTCATTGCAGGTTATTTTTAGAAGTTCATAATCCCCAGTGCCCAAGCAGTGGGATCCATGAGTGACCAGGCACAATAAATAGGTTACAACGGTTCAGTCAAGTTCAGATTTTACATTGTAACTCTCTCTCTCTCTCTCTCTCTCTCTCTCTCTCTCTCTCTCACTCACTCACTCACTCACTCTCACTCAATTGTATAGCATATATGCATTCACATATATGTGTTGAGTGGTTTTGTTCCATCCAGCTAACTGCTGATAGTTTATAGCTTAAATTTTTCAAGGCGCTATGTAGATTTTGGAAAACCCAGTCCATAGGCTTGAGTCAAATAAGTCACAATATAAAGTGATGAGGAAGGAACAGTGACACGGGCAAATTAAGGCCTTGAATCCATAAGGCCTTATGGTTGAATGACTGCCAGGGGAGAAGTATCTGAGAGAGAGATTTTTCTTACAAATTGCCATAGTGTAAATCTTAATGTGTCTCATGTTCAGTACTTTGAAGTTTTTAACAGCAAGTGATAACTCCCTTCCCTTGAAGCAGGGAGATCGGTTGTAGTCAGTACTATCTCTTTCCAATGTCTGGTACAGATGCTTTTAGACAGGAAACTTGCAGAAAATACCTGGAATAAGGTGACACCACTGAGGTCATGTATGTATTGCAATATGATGGTTGATGGCTGTTGCAATGGACAATTGAGAGTGGCAGAAGGACCAGAAGAAATGCGCTAATTTGTCTGATCCTTCTATCTTTTAACTGAATTGTCCAATTCCACTGCTATAGTTTCTTCTGCCCTTTAAACTTATCAGAGGCAAGATCAGCTGAGGCACTGTACATGGCTACCTGAAGATAACTTCATATAATATACAGATAACATACAATCAACATACAATTGTATGCACACGAATGATTGCAAGAACCCTGGATTTATTTGTGCTCTCTAAGGTGTATATGCTTATTCATGCAAACCTGTGTATAAGCCTGAATATTGTATGCATATTCATACTGTGTAACATTGGTGCAGAGTTTTCAAGTAATGGGAATGCAGCCAGCAAAATATATGAAGTGATCAGTTTGCAATGGTGAGAAATGTACAGTTCAATAATAAATTTCTTGAAAAGAATTAGAAGGCAATCACTCCGTGAAACCCAAATAAAACTTAAGTGTTTTCTGCTTTCTTGTTTGAGACACTGCAAGTTCCTCAAGTGTATTGAGAGTTTTAGAAGACTGATAAATGGGCTGGTTAAGTGACCATACAGATAGTGTTCAGAAGTGTTATAATTGGGATGAGCTTAAAATTTAGTCTGTTTAATTGAGGTGTTCAGTACCCAAGGTAAATACTGAGGTTTAGATTTTTGTTAATTGCTGGCTCATTTTAAAGAAAAGTTCCTTGTTTTTGCCTCCAGATTTTGTAGCTCTTCCTGACTTCCAGGCTGTAGCTATGGAAAACTGGGGATTGATTACATTTCGAGAGACAGCACTACTTCTTGATAAAACATCTTCAGCAATGGATAAAAAGAGAGTAACAAGAGTGATTGCTCATGAGTTGGCACACCAGGTATGACACATCTCCTGTCTTCTCCCTGATACAGAATCCTGCTTTTAAATCATTGCAGTTCTGATGCATACTTCCTAAAAGAGAGCTTGCCTTTTATTATTTTCTTATTCTCATGCTCTAATAGAAATTATGCTAAGTTAATTAAGCTGCCCCTTTACACCTCTTGCTGGAGGAGGGTTCTTTTCTTCCCTGCAGCCTCCATCTCTAGTATAACAAGGTACTGATGCAGTACTGGAACAGGATTGTTATGACAGCCCTGAATTGTCATAGTTGAATAATGCTGCAGATGAGGGCAACAAATAAGGAAGACTGAAATAAATTGTAAGTTAGATTAAAAAGACTAATTTAACTATGCACTGTATTTCTCATACAAAATGCAGTAGAAAAAGGTAGTGGGAGATGCTGATGTGCAAAGATGCATGAACCATTGATAAGTTGCAGTTGTCAAGCTGTGTGGAGACCAAGAAATTTATGTTCATGAACATGGTGTTATTGTTAATTGCTTGCTAATTAATTTAACTTGCATCCCCTCTTCCAGAAAAACTGTGTCTTGAGGCAACTGGGCCACTAGGACAATTTTCAGTAGCATATCTTGCAGATAAGATGTCTTTGAAATGCTTTGTTGAATTTGAAATATGTGCACAATAAGCTACTGGAACATGAAAATATTAAATAAGTGGCATGGTTTCTAATAATGCAAATATGTGTGCTTCTCAATCCTAGTGGTTTGGCAATCTAGTAACTATGGAATGGTGGAGTGACCTGTGGCTGAATGAAGGATTTGCCACTCTTATGGAAAACTTGGCCATGAAGGAAGAGTTTCCTGATTTATATGCAGTGAGTGCATTTTATTAAAATAATTTGATTTGATGCATATTCCACCTTGATCTTGGCAGTTAGAAGTGGTTATATTTTCATTTAGGAGCTCATTATTTTTTAAAATGTGATCCATATCTTAATGCATCAGCCATGGTGGAGTTCAATGTGTAACTCTTATCACTTGGATCCTTTCTCCTCCACAATTAAAACATTTCTGCTTGCTTTCATGTATCATTCTGGCTGATCACCTAAATCTATTACCTTTTTGGTCTTTGCGCCAAAGACAGAAGCAATAAAATAACATTAAAATGCTAACCACTGTCAGGAACATTGCTCTAGATAGAAGAAAAAGGTAACCTTGGTCTCAAAGCATCCAAAATGACTGTCACACTTCATTACTTGGGGTAACTGGCGTCACTGGTAAGCTGGAGGCGTGTGGGTTGGCTGGAGAAAGAGCTGGTGCTGTTCATCTGGAGTGCAATAATTGGAGAGATTATGGTAATCTTTTATGTTCTGGTATCAACAGAGTAGATGCTAGTGATGACCCAGGGTTTGTGTTGCTATTCCTGTAAAATTACAAAATCAATATGGATTCTGAAGTCTCTGCATGATAGATAGAGAGCACAAAATAAAACTGCTTTCATGTGTGCTGTTGTCAAAGGAAAGATAAGGAATTCATCTGGGAGATTTTTTCAGCAGGACAAGAAGGCAGATATAACAAAGGCACCAAGCTGTATGGCCTGATACAGCTACTGTACCATTTTGTGGAAGAGGAAAACTTAAAAGCAAAAGTCTGTGAAGGGGAATGGTGGTAGAGGAATTTGATGCAGCATGCAAACAGAGCAAAAACAAATTGAGATAGATTGGGTCTCTTTCTCTGCTAGTAAATATTTTGTGTTTCTACTAGCAACTGGCTATATTATTTTCTGGGCAGGTTTATCAGTCTTAACGTGATTACAGCAAGTCAGAATCTTGTGACTGAAACTGCACATACATTGATGATCTGAAGAGAACATTTCACCACTTGGTGGTGCCAGATTGCCTTATGCTACACAGCATTTCTTTCTATGTGTGAAAAGTGAAAACTTGAGTGAAAACTTAACCAATTGAAGTCAAGAATCACATGCCATTTATACCTACTTCAAGCTTAACTGGGAATGCAGATGTTCTTTAGGTGCTCAGTGTATAAGCTACTCTGGGAGGAAAGTAAAATAGTGTCACCTGGAGAAGAATGAGTTGTCACATAGTCCTAGGTCAGCAGAAAAGGGTATCCAGTCAACTTGGATTGCTTGCCCATGCTACAATACGTCCGTATGATGGCAGCTTGAGGAGGGAGTTCTTATGCACTTCTTCCTATGCTCAGTGCACATGGCAGATATAGGTTCGAGGCCTTAGATTTTATTAATAACCTAGGTAGCATGAGTGACTCTGTTCCTGGTTTATCCATCCTGAACACACCTTCATGATTTTTAAGAATTACTAAATGCTAACATAGTCTAATTATTGCTTAGGATTTGTTAATAAAGTATTAGTGTGCCCAGCTTTGGAAATACCATGTGTCTTAGAATTGCTTAAATCATCAAAAGGCCCACCAGGTAGCTAGGCGGGAATATGTGAAAGACAACTTTTTTCACAGGGCTTAAATGTCACACAGTGTTTACTGATCAGTCGCATTCTTCATATTAGTTACTGCTCAGGCTAACTTAAACTTCTTAATGTTACCCAGGATGACTTTTTTCTAAATCTACAAGTTAAGACCATGGAGAAAGACTCCATGGATTCAACTCACCCCATCTCCCTTGCTGCCAAATCATCAGATGAGATTGAAGAAATGTTTGATGCTGTCTCCTATGTCAAGGTAACTTCCAAAGTTCTGGCAAGTGTGTTTTTAATAAAATTAAATGAACAGGCAAAGTCCATACAAATATGTTTCAAATCATGTTCTTAGTGTGGGTAGCAACAGGTCAAAAGCTGAAGGGGGGCAAAGTGTTTTTGAGGTGGATTAGAAGGAGGTGGTGAGAAGATGATATAATGGAAAACATTCACTTCAGTTTGACCAAGTTTTAATTTGAAATTTCATCTGGTTTTAAATCAGTGTTCTTCCATCATAATGTTGGAATAAGTTCTTGATCTTATATTTTTTCTTGAAATATGAGGTTAAGTTGCTTATATCTTCAAGAAAAACACATGCTATATTTGGATGTAATGCTAAACCATGGTTTAGTGTTACAGGAACAAACCTAGCTTTCTTCTGGGTTTACATACCCCCCCCCCCCCCGATGTGGCCATAAGGAAAGCAGAAGATCCTATGTCTGTTTTTAGATTACCTGTAGTGTAACCATAACCTAATGAACCATAAACTAATTAACCTTAACTCTAATTAGTGAAAAAATCAGATTCATAAAGTATGGCTTTTTAACCATAGTTAAAATTAATCATAGTTTATCCAGGTTTAGACAACACAGTGACCTGTGGTTAATAATAAAAAGGAAGCAAAATCTTCTTTACACCTTTTGGACATGTCAAAGAAGAAACAAGGGACATGTGAACCCTGGAGGATGCTTAGCTCACTTTCATATGGATAAGCTGTATTTCACTATTACATTCAAACCTGCCTGTGATAGAACTGAGTATTCCCTAAAGTCAAAAGATGAAGTGCACCCCATGGATACTTATGCCTGACAAATAATTCTCCCTCCCCCTTTTCAGCAGTGGTGGCTATTGTTCCATCTCTGTTAACGTTAACACTAAGATTAGCTTTAAAGCAAACTTCGTAAGCTGTTTTGAACTTTATTTTACAGATAGCCATGATTAGTGTTAACACTGAAGGTAAACACTACTTCATTTTCAGCTTTGAAAATGTAAAGAAGGGAGGATGCTAACCAAATCCATTATGTCTGCATTTTGTTGGAATGTCAAGCAATCTTCATTCCAATTACTTGTGGTCGGAATTTGATTTTTTTTCCATTGGTGAAACTTGAATTTGTTCACACTTGTGCAACTTCAAAAATTACACAAATCCCCACAGATTGCATATTTCTATGTCTATGGGGGACATGCGTATTTTAGTAGCTTTTAAATTTTTCATATTTTTCTATGCCTATACTTGTGTAAAACTTGGGAAAGTAAAAAACCAATCTGTAGAATCTGTGCAAATCATGACATCTGGCCTACTGCAGAAGCTGCAGCTCAGATTAATAGAAATCTTGAACTCACCTGACAGTTGTGGATTTCTCCAGTATCACTATGCTGACCTAGGGGATACTGCTTATACTTCAGCTATGGTTGAAAGATTGGGTCTTAAATCTATACCAGGTGTAATTTATAAACATTTACATTTTGGTTATTTCTTTATGTTTAGTTCTCATAATTATTATCCCCCACAAAACACTTCATCCCTAAATTGTAATTCCTCCTTTCAAAATATTATGATTGATGCTTTTGATCCAAAGAAGGAACACTTCCCTTATTTTCAGTACAGTTGTGGCAAACTAACTGAAATGTACTTTCAGCCAGAATACAGGCATTTTATTTTTCTAGAGCTGAACCTGTAAATAAGATGATGTTTCATATTCACTACTGTATATTTGTAAACAGTGAAAGAAAAGAATTTGTATCTGAATAGATGATAACTTTAGAAGATATGGTTTAGATTCATATATGTGTGTCCAGAAAACAGATGTATGTGAACTGATGCATTTTTTCTATACTATTTTCAATCAGCCCCAATCATTTGTGGCCAGACCACATCTTGCTCAGATTAGAGGAAAGGCTGTGAGCAGCTATTACCCTCACATCTGTTCGCATGGCCAGAGGTGAAGTTTCTTGAATATCCAAGAGCTGTTGGTACGAAAAGGAGGAAGGCCATAATGTGGGGATACATTATCCTTCTGAGTCTTTAGCTGTGTTATCTTCAGCCATCCCCAGCTGGTCGTGATCTCCAAGTCCTGCCTGATTTGCAGACATCTGGAAGCAAAAATAAACATGCAAAAAGGCATAGGCAAGGCTGCTTTGTATTTCTCCTGATGGCAGCTGCTTCTGCACAGCAAGCCATTCCTGTACTGTGGCTAACCCCAAACTCGCCAGCGCCGCCTCTTTACAGCAAGGAAATGCTGGAGAGATTTCCTTCTCTGGATGGGAGGGATAGGAAGACATGCTTTGGAGGCCTCCCTATCTCGCCGTTCACTTTCTCTCTGTGGTGATGATGATTTTCCACAGAAACTTTTTAAAATTAATAGGATTTATGGTATTTGTAATATGAGTTGTTCATATCTTGGATGTTCATAACTTGGCGACCGCCTGTACATTCAAGCTTCATCCAAAATGAGTTCCTTGCAAGTTGAATCTTGTAGCTTCCAATGGACTTTGTATTCCATGATTATCAATGTTGCCCTTTGGTGGAGATGATGACAATTATTATAGGAACTTACTGTTTTATTATTTGTTTTATTAATGTACTGTTTATCTTATGTATCTTACTGTAAACCCTCTGGGCTATGGGGTGGTAGATAAATGCAATAAATAAATATTTTATACTTGGATCATATTAGGTCAAACACATTCATTCTTCTTATGAATACTTCCCTATTTTCAAACCAAGTCTTGCATCATGTAGAGAATTCTTAAGCCTTTAGTCTTCCTGAGTACTTTTATTTTAGCGAAGTTTTTAAATAGCTAGCATGCTTCTTTTGCAAATTGAGAGGGAAGTTATGACCGTGCACTTAAAGTGTAACTTTTCTATATTCCTACAGGGAGCTTCTGTCTTGATGATGTTGAAAAACTATCTCCAAGAGGATGTCTTTCAAGCTGGTATTCAAATCTATTTGCGCAAACACAGCTATGGTTCGACGCACAGTGATAATTTATGGGACAGCATGAGTGAGGTACCTCTCTTGGATAAGGATGTTTGCTTGCTTGCTTGCTTGCTTGTTTAAAGTTCTTGTATCCTACCCTTTATAATGTCTTACGGTGGCAACACAGTGAAATAAATATAGATATAAATATGATACAGCATCATGAACAAATAAAATTCAAAGTTAATAAAGTAAAATAGAAAAAAGTTGCCAAGGGATTTTAAACTAGTACAACCAATACATTTAAGCCCACAAATTTATCTGTCTGTCATTCAGCACTCTATGGGAGTTCAGAAAAGATGCTGTTAACACTGTACACTAACACATTTTCTTGCTTTAAGTCAATTATGCATCCTGAACTACTTTTTAAAGAACTCCCTTTTATATCTCATTAATTTTACTGGATAAAATAGAATTTCCATTTGTCATTATGGAAATCAGTCAGTCTCCTATTTACATAAATAGTTAATTTTGTCATGACTACGTATTCTTATTTTTCATTCTTCAATTGTTGGGGATTCTGGTGATTTCTGTTTAGAAGTAATTGTAATTTTTGCTGCAGTTGACATATATTTAAATAATTCTGACATAATCTTTGAAAATGTCTCTGGCATTATATTCAACAGCATATTCTTAGGACTCATAGGAAACTTAATTTTAAAGGTTTTTGTATTTTGTATTTTTTGTTGTTCAAGAAAATAGAATTGTGGTTTTAAACTGCCGTTGACAAAGTTTGTATTGTCATTCTGTATTCAAGACTTAACTCTGGATCTACCAAGTTTGTTTAGTGAGTTGAGGAAAATATTGATAGTGTTTTTGAAATATTTTTACCTAGAAAGATGTTTGTGTGTATGTTTGGGTTTCTAGGCAACAAATGGAACAATTGATATTAAAAAAATTATGAAGACCTGGACTCTTCAGAAAGGATTTCCCTTGGTGACTGTCAGAAAAGAAGGAAAACGGATCTATCTACAGCAGGAGAGATTTGTGCATAATTTGGAATCAGGAAATCAGACATTACCTTCAAGGTTTATTTCTTTTTGTCTTATTTCTCATTTGAGTAGTTTGAGTATGTCTGTAGAATATGTTTTAAGTTATGAAGAAATCTTGGGTCCAAAGGCTTGCTCTTGAGAGCAAATAAATGTATCGAGATGTAGCATAAATATCAAAGTATATTATGTTGAAACTGCCTGTTGGCAGAAGGGAAGAGATGGATGTGGTAAAAAACATGATGGATAGGGACTACTGGTAGCGGATTTATCCTGCTACTGCCTATCATATCTGTTTTGAAGCATGTGAGTTGTGAAGGCAGCTATAGGAAACATAAGAAGAGCTATGCTGCATCAGATCAAGGGTCCATCTGGTTCAGCTTTCTGCTCACACAGTGGTCCAGCAGCTGCCCACAGGAGCTCACAAGCAGGATATGGCTGCAACAGCACACTCTTGCCCTACTGCTGTATACAGGCATTTTGCCTTTGCTGCTGGAAGTACTGTGTTTCCTCAAAAATAAGACCTATCCCGAAAATAAGACCTAGCTGTGTTTATTCACAGGGCCAGTGGGGAACATAAAGAGCCTTTTTAAACTTTATTTTTTAACTTAACTTTAACTTAATGCACTGTGTGGAGGAAACGTGCTTATGCAGCTCTGCTCCCTGTGGAGGGAGCAGAGCCACATAAGCCGATGCTTCTTCTATAGCACCGGCTCCTGTCACAGGCAGAGTGATACCAAATGTACATGTATTCATGCTGCTGTACATGAGTAAGTGTGGATTGTTGTACACATTAAAAAATAAAATAAAAAATAAGACCTACCCCGAAAATAAGACCTAGTGTGTTTTTGTAAGCCAAAAAAAAAAAGACGGTGTCTTATTTTCGGGGAAACACAGTAGTATGTACAAGTAACCATCTCCTCTGTGAAGTTGTCCAGTCCCTGCCAAGCCATCCTAATTGGCGGTCATCACTACATCTCACAGAAGTAAATTCCATAGTTTAACTATGCACATAGCTCTGCAGTTTGTGAAGAAGTACCTCCTTTTACCTTTCCTGAAACTCTCACCAATTTATTTCATATAAGATAGGGATGGAAGCTGGCATTTTGAGTTGATAAGGCAAAATGTACTGTCGAATGTGTGGTGGGTCTCCATCCTCTGAATAAAACACACTGGAGGAATGATTGGTCAGTATTGGTAATGACCTTCTCTTTGGGCAAACTTCATTTTTAACAGATCAGTGGGCTGTTTCGTTACTCCTTTCATAATTGTACCAACCACTTGTTTCACCCAGGGAATACCTACAACCTTTGCTTGACTAAGGGTGCACAAATTGAATTAGACAGATGGGAAACTATTCCATAAAATAAAAGAGCCCTACAATAGAGCCAGTTTGTACATTGCCAAGTGATTGGGATGCAAATGACTTTTGATTTCCCCTCTTTTTCCCCTTGAAGTCAGATTCCCTCCTTGCAGAAATATACCTTGTCCATTATGCCAGGAACCGAAGCAAAATGCTGGAAATCAGGAATGGGCAGAAAACAAAGCAGGCCTTAGTGATACATTTTTGGATGATTTGTAGTAGCTTGGCAAGGCTTCCTTCCTCTCTGCTGGCACAAGTTGGACTGCTGAATAAACACTGGAGACAAAAATGAGTAGATTTTTTGTGTTAAAGGACATGTGAGCATGGTTTTGTAAGAGTTCTAAATTCCTAGTTGAACATACGCTTGTAGGCCTCCTGTCCTTTAATTTTTAGCGTATGCCTGTCTGCCCACCTGAAGCAATATTTATTATTATGTATTTATTACAAATATTTGTATCCCATCCTTCTGCATAAGCGCTCAGGACGGCCTACATAATATAAATATTTGGCACTTTGCTTGGGTTGCTCTACCTTGGAGTTTCAGTAAAAAAACAAAGTACACCATGAAATCCACCCCTGCTGTGAGCTAAACTTTTGCCGACCACTGGACTTTGGCACTGTTGTCACTTGTACAGGACCTTTAATTGAGTGAAGAGCAGCTGAGGCTTCATGTGCACTGTCCACATTAAAAGCTAGAATCATACACATTAGTTGTTTAGCAGGAAATGGGAAGCAGCAGGAACCTGAATCCCAGTTGTGCACATGGTGACCCAAAGCATCCCTACATGAAGTATTTAATATATTACCTTGAGGGTTTTTTCATTTTCGTTGCAGGAGCAGGATCGTGTCCATTTCATGAGGTTTTTATTTATTTAAATTGTCTATCTTGCTTTTGTGTTTTATTAAACAACCACAAGGTGGTGTTTTGGTATAGCACAGTTGCGAAAAATGCACAACTATTTTCTTGTGCTTCTTAGTGCCATAGGAAATAATACTGCACTTTCCTTACCCTAAAAATAAATAAATAAATAAATATCCATGCAAAGGGCTGGAAAACATGGGGGAAGCTCTAGAGCAGTGATGGTGAACGTTTTAGAGACTGAGTGCCCAAACTGCAAACCAAAACCCACTTATTTATCGCAAATGCCAACACTGTAATAAAACCTGAATAATAAGGACTTAGTTTAGAAAAAACAACTCTCAGCCAGTTCAAGCAAATATATATACTGTATATATCCTTGGCAGCGCACTGACCTGCCATGCGAAAGCTCGGTCAAGTCACGGCTAATGAGTTGCGGCTTGTGATGTCGTTGCCTGGTGCCGTCACTCCTTTCCGAGCATGCGCATGGCCCCTATGTGTGCTGTTATCTGATTCTTGGCTGCTGGGGCGACTTGGCTCGCGTGCTGACAGAGAGCTCTGTGTGCCCGCTGTGGCACGTATGCCATTGGTTCACCACCACTGCTCTAGAGGATGGTGACATTGTGAAAAGTACCCACAAGCTTTTGTGAGTGCAAAACCACAAGTGTCCCATAGAAGCCTCCAGTAGAGAAAGTGATAGCCTGAGAGGAGCGTGGACTCACAGCCTGCTTCTGGGCATAGAGTGCCCCTAGCTGGATTGTGATGACTGGTTTGTTTGTTTTTTAATGTGAAGACACAGATGGTTCTGGCAGAAGAGGAATCAAACTAGGGAAGCTCTTTTTGAAATAAAGAAGGAGAATCTCTGAATAGTATCAAGTATTGCAGTGAATCAGGGCTGTCCTAATGCATTAGCACTGAGCTTGGCAATGGAGTATTGATCATGCTTGTAGTATTGATTATGTATGGCTCTTAAAATGACATCAACAAATTCCTTCTCCCACTCTCTTTTTCTGCACGAATTTGTAGCTGAGAATTGGTTTTATGTGTGTCTGTACCATGAAAACAAGAGCTTGTTGTACATTCATTGTTTTGTGTGGTAATGTGATATACATTCATGCAAAACTGGTTTTCTTCTACAAAACTCTTTTTATGGCTGTCCCGTGGACAAGGGAAAATTGCCTAGTGGGCATACCAGCCATCACCACCATATTGATAGAAACTGTCATTCCCAGATGATCTCATGTTTGATCCCACGATGGGGTTTACTCTGGGGACAAGAGTTTGGTTTTTATAGCTGCATGCTTGATTAAGTCAATATGTATTAACCTATGCATAATTTGCACAGAAACATAAGATAAACAGCTACTGTTACAATGCATTCACACACAAATTTGTAGAGTTTGTAAAATATGTAACCTTTTCCCCCTTCCAGTTATCAGTGGCATATACCTCTTTCTTACACCACCGGCAATGGCAGCTCGATTCTTGCTTCTTATACATACTTGCTGGACCAAAAGTCAGGTACGGTGTGTGTTTTAAATCATTTTTTGTGATTTGAAGGTTTGAAAGTATTGTTTTAGCTGATTTCAGTTCCTTTCACATAGTCTGGGTAAATTCATGTTCCAGTCATAACAGTGGTAACATAGCTGTTGCTCAGATCAACTATGCCTTAGAATAGTTGGTCTTGGAATCAGTCAGCTGAAGGTGATCTTAGCCTTCCTCTGTGCATGTCTTTGGACACTGTGGGGTATGAGATATTGATCTAGTTTCAACCAGGAGTGCTCTTCTTGTGTTCTGCCCCAGCATTCTGTTCCTAATGGTGGCCAGCCAGACACCTTCAGGTCTTTCCAAGGATCATTCCTGGTTGTTTGCCTTGACATCCAACATTTGAAAGGCTGCCTCTGCTGCCATATATGGAATATTCCATGCTCTGGACTTATACTTGTAATGGACAAATGTGGGTCTATAAAAAGAGAAATGCGTATTCACTTATCACAAAACTCATTTGGGGCTCTGAAGGCTGTTCTGTCAGTTAATAAAGCTGAACCATTTTTCTGAATGGTTATAGAAAAGGGGCATCCCAAAACTGTTTTTAACATTATAGTAGGCAAACTATTTCTAGGCTTTAAAGACATAGCATATTATTTCTGAACTGTCTGACCCACTACATGGTTGCTTACAGAAATAGGTAACGCAGTTTTAGTCCCTAGGGACCAATTAACAGGCCCAGCTCCATACGGCCATGGAGAAGGGGTCTTGGTAAAGGAGCGTGTCACTCTGAAAAAGAGGGAAAGAGATCCCTGGAAGGGACCCATCCCTTGGAAGACAAACAAGTACCCTCTCACACCAATGACATGTCACCTGGGAGATGGGGGGGCTTCTGATGTTAGGAGATTACATCCTTATAAATATGGACAGCTGGATTTGTGACAGGCGTGAGGACAGTATGGTGTTGCCTGCTTGGCACAAAGCTTGCTGATAGCCCAGTAGTGTAGGGGTGGAGTCATTGATCATGGTCCATGTTGAGGAGGAGGTGGTGTAGAGAAGAACAACTACATAAGGAAAGATACTCATGAGGTCCTAGAAGCTACATTTAGGTGACTGGGTAGAAGGTGGGATTCCAGGACCACCAAGGTGGCTTTCTCTGAAATGCATCTGGTTCTGTGTGTAGGGACCAGCCAGACAGGCACAAATGAGGAGACTCAGTGTGTGGATGAGGAGGTGGTGTAAAGAAGAGGGTTTCAGTTTTGTTGAACACTGGAGAACATTTTGAGACAAACTGAGCCTGTACAGTGGGGTGCAGTGGGCTACACTTGGATCATAATGGAACCAGGTTAGTGGTGCATAACATTAAAAAGGTGGCAGAAATAGCTTTCCCACAGGGTTCAGTTAAAAAGTAAAAGGACTGGGGAAGCATCCAGTTAAGATAAATTCAACCTTAGTGGGTGAAAGGGGAGTTTCAGATTGCTCAAGAGCAGCAGGGAAGGGAGGACATTGGCAGCAAAGTTAAGGCAAGCCAAGATATTCAGTTAGAGAGGATGATGCATCAGAACAGCAAATGCATATAGAAGGAGGGGGACACTGTACTTAGGTGTTTCTGTGCAAATGCCACATCTTCAGAGCCAAAATTAGAGACTGCATGACTGTAAGACAGAAGCTAGATACAGTGGACATTACGGAAACTTGGTGGACCCTAGAACAGTAGGGTCAGAAGGGACCAAGAAGGCCAAGTTTTGCCTTGAATGCCTCTAGTGTGGGGCAGCTCATGGCCTCTCTTGGCAACTGGTTCCAAGTATTGCTCTGACAGCGGCACCTGGGGGTTTTTTTGTGCCTAGCCTGAATCTTACGTGCTGCAGTTTAAGTTCATTGTTTCATGTCCTACACGCGGGTGAGTGAGAAGAGGTTTTTTTCTTCCTCCTTGTGACATTGAGGTACTTGTAGAGTGCTATCATATCCCCTCATAGGCTTCTCTTCTCGAGGCTAACCTTCCCAGCTCTCAGACTCTCATCATTTGACTTAGTTTCTAGACCCTGGAGCATCTTTGTTGCCCTCCCCTGAACCCTTTCTAGTTCTTCTGCATCTTTTAAAAACCTGGGTCCCCAGAACTAAACACAGTATTCCAGGTGAGGTCTGACTAGTTCAGAGTAAAAAAGAGTAGGTGTAATGGAGGAGACATTTCTGCCTAGGTTAGAAGACATAGAGCCCAGCAGGCTGGAAAATCTAAAATGTGAGAACTTCTCTGCAGAAGCACTATGGGTGAAAATTCCTGACCCTAAAACTAACTCAGTCATAGTAATATGCTATCAGCTTCCAGACCAGAATGCTCTAGGTGATCTTGAGATGGGAAATGATATCAGGGAGGTCTCTAACAAAGACAGTACTGTAATAATGGGTGTCTTCAGCTACCCACACATCAACTGGGAAAATGTATGTTCCAGCTCTGACAGAGGGGTTAAATTTCTCAATGTCCAAATGACTTTGCCCTGGAGAAGTTGTGGAACCAACCAAAGGGATGTAGCTGGATGTAGTCCTAAGTGGAGTTGACCAGGACATAGTACAGGATATCAATGTTGTTGAGCCATGAGGTAATAGTGACCCTGCTGGTATCAGTTTTAATATAGAAGTCAAGTACAGTTGCATTTGCCTTCAAAATATGAAATATCTTAAAAATGAATGAACTGAGAGATCCATGAAATTACAGGCCAATTAGCTTAACATCTGTTCTTAGTAAAACTGCTTGAAAGCTTTATTAAAGGTAGAATCATTAAGCACATAAAGGGACAAGCCCTGATGAGAAGAAGTCAGCATGGCTTCCACAAGGGGAAGTCTTGTCTCAGTGACCTATTCAAGTTATTGAACATAGATGGACAGTCTAGTAGACATTGTTTACTTGGACTTCAAAAAGGGCAAAATCCATTACTAAAGGCCCCTGAGCAAACAGAGCAGCCATGGAATAAAAGGGAGCTGGGTCCTTTTATGGCTCACTAATTTGTGAAAGAGCAGAGGGTGGGAATAAACAGTGACTTCTTCCAATGGAGAGATGTAACCAGTGTAGTCCTGCAGGCTTTTGTAGTAGGCTTCCAACCTATTCATAAACAATCTGAAATTAAGAGTAAGTAGTGAAGTTGCCAAGTTTACTGATGACATCAAACTATTTAGGATGGCCAAAATCAAAAAGGATTGTGAGGAGCACCAGGGCAGAAAATCCCAACTACAAGTATATGTTGATGAAATCAGAGCTAGTAGTGATTGAGCATGAATGGGATCTATGGAATGGACAATAGAACTCCCAAGATCTCACCCCACTTACACAAATCCTTAGTACAACCGCACTTAGAATATTGTGTCCAGTTCTGGACTCTTCAGTTGAATAAGGATATTATTCCGTTGGATAAAGTGCAGAGAAGGGCACTAAAAATAATCGGAAGCTGGATCATCGCATTGATGAGTAGCAGCTAGAACAACTGGGACTGTTCAAGCTTAGAAAAATGGTGAGTAAGGGGAGACACAATAAAGGTATTTAAAATTCTGCATGGAGTAGAGAAAATGAAGAGGGAAATGTTTTTCTCCCTCTCATAATATTAGAACCCAGGGTCATCCTGTGAAAATAATTGAGGGAAGGTTTAGAACAGATCAAGTATTTTTTTCACATGACATATAGTTAAATTGTCCAATTGCCATGGGAAGTGGTAATGGCCACCAGTCTGGATGGCTTTAAAAGAGGACTGGACAGATTAATGGAAGAAGAGGCTATCATTGGCCCTAGCCTTGCTAGCATCCCTGCATGCACTAGTTGCTGAAGTGCCTGGACAAGTGAGGGACTTGCATCCTTCTTGCTTGAGGGAGCCTGTGGACAGCTGTTTTGACACTGGCTTTATGGAATGCAGGACTAAAGGGATCTTAGATCTGATCCAGCATGGCTTTTCTTACGTTCTTAGAGTGATGTTACGAAAATTACCCTTCACAGAATAAATGTGCTCTACAAAAAATGGACTTTAACAGAATCAGTTATTAATAAATCCAAACTCTTACTCTGGATAGAGTTTGGTCAAAATATTTATATAATCTAGTATATTCTAATTTCCAGAGATTGTGTTGCTAGAAAAGGGTACCTTCATTAAACCTTGTAATAGTATGGAGGGTATTTAGGAGTGTCTTAGTAGTGAATAATTGTACTTACCAGGAAACTTGGCATCTAAAAGTATTCCCACTTAACACCTCAGGCATCAAGATTGGTGAGAATTGTAATTTTTCATGGCTCATGTATTCTTGCTGTGGATTCCAAAGCCCTGGGGAAACCATATCATTCAGACATCTTTGGAAATCAAAAGTGTTTGCTTGCTTGCTTGTTTATGTGGCTGGATCCTGATACCTCTTGGGTTGGGAAGGCCTCCAGTCTTTCTCATGTTCCCTACTGGGTGAAGTCGCATTGTATTCCCTATCCCATTGGGAGTGTGATTAGACCTTGAGCTAGGATTGCGTCCAAACTTAAAAGAAACTTCTCAGCTCTTCGCTAGGAGTAGCTGTTTCTGTTACTTTAAACCAGGTTGTGATTGAAAGCACAAGCTGTTAATCTAAAATCTATGTGATTTTAGATTTTAAGACTGGAAAAGACTGCTGTGACCCTTTCAGCTTGTGCTACCCAGTTCTGAGAAGAGTAGTTCTGTGACTTACTTTGATGTGTAGTCTAAATGCACCTTCTGTTTGCCTGGAGGTACATCCCTGGACATAGCAGACCTGCTTCATGGTATAAATGAGAATTGAGTTTGTAATGGATAGCTTTCTGTAACCTGGCTCCTCTAAATAGAAAAAGAATGGGGCAGTAGTGCCAACCACTGAGATTCAAGTAATTCACTTCTGGACAGATACATTTTTATAATTGAAAACTGGTTTCCAGAGAAGATGAAAGCAGCATGTGTTAAAAATATACATATACTACTGCCAAAATCTAGGCTGCTGCATAGTTGAGATGTTAAATATGCTAATGAAAAGCAGTAGACCTATTTTAAGGAGAAAAGGCTTAAAACAATTTCACCCCCAACACATTATCAAAAATGCATGCAAGGATGGGATTTGATAGTTCTGTCAAATGTACTGCTGGTAGGTAAGCTGACCATGAAATATATCTTTGTTATGAGATAAGCTGTGAACACCTTTGCAGTAGAATGGGAAGTTTTCAGGGGTGTTTTTTCCTCAATTTTATATACTGTGAAGTGAAATGCAAGACTGGATTGAACATATTAATGTGCCTATCAAATTGGTTGAGCTTTCTGCAGTTGTGTTGTTTCTGGCCCAGATTTCAATTCACCAAATACATACTTGGTGAGCCTTTTCTTCCCCTCTGTAGGTTGAGAGAAGCAATTACGCTGGGAGATCTCTCCAAGTACAGTATTAATATGCAGTATAAATACACTGTTAACTTTGGCAATTCGGTATGTGTGCTGAGACCATGCAGTTCTTCACAGTTCACTCACATACATTGAACTCGGCCCGTTTCACAGTTCTTTTTCATGAGTGCTGAGGATGGGTACAGGTGCGAGGCCAACTTCATAAGGTGCCCTGCTACTTTGGAATGTGGAATGTAATGCAAAAAATACACTTCTTTCTTCAGATAATGTTTTCAGTGCACAATAGTTTGTGCACTTTGATGTTGACCTGGTAGCCTGAAGTGTGATGTGTGAATGTGGTCTTTGATGCTGAAATATATCTCAGCTATTATCAAGCAAATTTTATCTTTATTGCCACACTTGCTTGGGGGTTGCTTCATTCACATTTCATTTCACCATCAGAATGCATGGTGGTGCGGTTCCTGTCAGCCTGTATCCCCAACTAGTAGAAACATACGAGATGCAAGGGACTTTACAGAAGTGAATTTGATCAATATATTATATAGAAGAAGGAAATGTATGTAAATTCGTAAACATCTATGTAAACAAATAAGAGCAGTCACAGACACTCAGCCCAACCTCCGTTACAGGGTTGTTGTTGTGAGGATAAAGTTGAGAGGAGGAGGAGGATTATGTAAGCTGCCTTGGGTGCCTTGGGAGGAAAAGGGTGAGATATAAATGCAATAAATAAAGATTGCAGACCAAATTACAGGGAAAATGATTTCTAATGTGTATTATTACTGCATTTATAGCCTGCTTTTTTTCCTCTTGTGGGGCACCCAAGGCAGCTTACATAGCTCCATTTTATCCTTAACAGCAACTCCTTGGAGTTGGTTAGGCTGAGGGCAAGGGACTGGCTCCAAGTCCTTCAGTGAGCTTTGTGGGCAAGTGGGGACTAGAACCCCGATCTGCAGGTCTCTAGTCCAGCACTCGAACCACCACACCTCACTGGCTCTCATATACATCATATTACATATATCAGTTCAGTCCAGTGCATCAGCCCATGGGACCCCACTGTATTTCCATTTAGTCTGGCGCTTTAGATAGACCACTGGTTTTAATACACATTGTGCTATGGAAGCAGTACATGCATTTATTTCACTTCTTGAATATAATAAATTTTTAGTGGTATACTGGTCACCTGAACAATGCAAAATAGCCAAATACACTTAGATACTTTATTGAATACAGAACTTCTGGTTTTCTCCAGACCACCCGTTTCCCACTTACTGTACTCCAAATAGCTTTATTCTGAATGCCAGTCACCAAAAAAGAGATAACTTTAACTTCCCAGACTGCTGTTGTAGGGTTTGCTTCAGAGGAATTAAGTTTTGTAAGGTCCCTTGCACTTTGTTTGCTGCCGTTGAGTGGTTCCTTTTAGTCCATGTGAAAGTGCTTCATTTGTGCTCATGGTCATTAATGCACAGCTATGTTAGAAGTAATTCCACCAGCTTCAGGTGGATTCCTAGGCAACTTGAGTTGAGATGATTTCCTGCAAGCTGATTGGTTCAAGGGATACTTTGTAGCTGTAAACATTGGTTGGCTGCAACTGTTCCCACTTTCCCAGGGGAAAAATATAAGAATACAGATAGCTTTTTGAGTGTTGCTTGTAATGAATCAATGCTTTTATGAATGCTTAAACTTGAGCAAAGATTTTGAAAACTTAAACATGCTTTTTTCTCCCCCCCCCCCACCCCCGCCAGCTGTCATTGACCTTCCAGATGCAGTGGAGTGGGTAAAGTTCAACAACGACTCGAACGGTTACTATATTGTGCAGTACGCTGATAATGACTGGACTGCTCTAATTGAACTACTGAAGAAGAACCCTGCTACTCTCAGCTCCAGAGACCGAGCCAATCTGATCCATAACATTTTCAATTTAGCAGGGTAATTGTTTAAAGTTAGCAATGAACCCTGGTTTATTTTAATCAGATTTAAATCTAAAAATGTCTAGGATATAAGGGAGAACAGGGCACAGATTTGACCTGGATGATCTGTTAAATAATTATCTTTATATTATTTCAGATGTCTTGCAGAACACAATTAAGCAACTATGAAATGCAAAGCTTGTAGTTTATAATTTTTTTTATAGAGACACATGATGATGTGCAAGCAAAGTGAGGGTGATGGGTCTGAATAGCACTTGTTATTTAGAGAGCGTATCAGTATAATAACTTGGTTTATCAAACCATCCCAGTTTGGAAGATCTGCTTCCAAAGGACAAGAATCAGTAATATGAATTGATACAGCAAAACTATTATCCTTGAAAAGTGTGACCAGGTTAGTGTGAAAATCATTGCTAAAATTATTTAGTACACCCCAAAGTGTATAACAGTCTAAAAAAATGCAGCATGTTACAGAACTACTCACCTCCTTTGACTTTTCTACATTTTGTTGTGTTACAACATTAATTCAAATGAATGCACTGTGCATTATCACAACTCGATCTACACAAAATACTCAGTACTGTGAAGATGCAAAGTATTTTTATTTTGGCACGAAGGTTAAGTAAATACAACAAACTGACACTTGTTTTGTATAACTACCTATTCCTCTTTGTGGCATGCCTAAATAAACTCTGGTGCAATCCACCACTTCTAGCCCTCACAAACTATAAATAGTTGAATGGGATCCACCTGTGTGCACTTCCAATACTAAATGATATCAGTTTAAATATACCTGTTTCTGGAAGGCGGACAAGTTTGTTGGAGAGCATATCTAAGCAAACAGCATTGTGAAGACCAAGGAAGTATCAAAAGAAGACAGTTGTGCAGAAGCGCCAATCAAATTTGCATTACGGAGAAGCTTTGAAATCTTCTGGTGCACTGTCGATCCATTACAAAATGGTAAAAAACCCCCCCATGGTTCAACTGTAATTTTGCCTAAAGAAAGCTATTGCCCAAAACCGGGGGACTAAGTAAGGCAGACATTAATCAGAGAAGTAATGAAGAGGCCAAACATAACTCTGAAGGAGCTGGAGAAATCTGTGGCTGCCTTTACAGAAACTGCCAGTGGGACAACTATCACCCAGTCTCTCCATTAACCAGTGCATTATGGAATAATAGTGAAAAGGAAGACATTGCTGAAACAAATCCATGTATATCAAGGCCCATTTGGAGTTAGCAGAAAGGAGACACAGCAAACAGGATGAATATTCTGACTTAGCTGCAAGTTGTATGTGCGGCACAAAGCCAACAGAGCTCATGCCATAAGAACAGCATCCTGATGAAGCATGATGGTGTCAGCTCTTGCGTCGTGTCCGTGCTTTTCCATAGCAGGGATTGAGAAACTGATTAAAGTCAAGATAGATGGAATCCAATAGAGAGCAATCCTAGAGGAAAACTTGTTTCCGTCTGCAAGGGACCTGGACTAGGGTTGAGGTGCATCTTCCAGCAGGACAGTGACTCTGAACATACAAAGTAATACTGGAGTGGTTTAAAACAAGAACCTGAATGTCCTCAAATGGTGCAGTCAAAGCCTGGATCCCTGTCCAATTGAGAATCTCTGGCCAGACCTGAAAATTACTTTTTGCCAATGGTCCCCATTCAGCCTGATGGTGTTGGAACAGTTTTGCCAAAAAGAATGGTGCAGGATCCAGATGTTTAACTATTGTGCCACAACAAAATTTTTCACCTTTACAGTGCTTAGTTTCTTGTCCACAACATGTGGTAATTATGCCAATTCATTTCAGTTCCAGGTTGTAACACAACATGTGGAAAAGTCAGAGGGGAATAAATACTTTTGCAAAGTACTGCAACTTTTCTCCTGCCTCTTATAAAAAGATATAATGGTCATTCATTTGTGTGTTTACAAATGGGACTTCTCCAGAAAGCGTTTTGGGACAAGAAAGGTTTGGATTTTTTTTAATGAAGTATCTGTTTTATTAACAAGAACTTGCATATTCTACAAGATTGGGCAGTTTAACGTCTTAGTGTTAAGATTGGCATATTGGTTGCATTGCTTGACTGCTTTTTATCTTCTCATGCTCCTTTAGGTTAGGAAAGGTGTCGTTGGCCAAGGCTTTTGATCTGATGGACTATCTAGTGAAGGAAAAAAGCTCTGCTCCAATCACACAAGCTTTGTACCAAATGAACCATATCTTCAACCTAGTTGAAAAGAGAGGGATGCAGGACCTTTCAGCCAGAATATTGGTATGTTTTTGACAGTAGCTTGAGCATGACAGTGAAAGCTAGATGCTATGTAAAATTCTTGATTTAATTTGTCTCTGTGTGGATCCTGCTTTATTTTTGTTTATGTACTGTTGTATGTGTAATGATATCTAATTTGATTTATAGGCCATGCCACTTAAAAGCATACTATAATTTCTCAGGAGCTGGGAAGGTATCTGCTTGTAACTGCAGCCCTTGTATCTTGCATGCACAGAAACAATTGTCCCAGGGCAAAAATGCAGCAGATGTCTACTTGCACTTTGAGTTTTATCTGAAATTCGTGGCTCATTATTGCCATCTTAGTGATACAGCAAAGCAGAAGAACATTTATAAAAGTTCATTCTCCACAAACCAGTCTGTATCTGAGGTGTCATGGCATTTTTGCTGAGCTTTTAGAGCACACTCACTTTCAATTCATATTATCAATGCAGAGTTCTACAAGAAATTGCAAATCCCCCGCCCCCATACTAAGAAATGTGCATTACCAGCCAATCTTTCTCACTGTTTCAGCTTATGGGTACTCTTTGATTAAAATGTGTTTTTATTTGTTTTTCTTGTTTGCAAAGATTTCAGAATGCTTGCATGAGCAGCCCTGTATACCTCGAATATAACTCATGGACATTTGATGTCTCCTTTTCACCAGTCAGACCTTTAAAACCCTCACAGACTCCATTTGGTGCCTGGTGGATTCAAAATAAATACGACAATGAGAAAGTACTCCTCAGGCCATTATCTTGAACCCTTAATGGAATTAAATGGGGGAGCTGCCAAGAATGAAGGATAAGCAGTTGGGGGTTTGCATAAATGGGTGTTTGGGAGCACTTCAGGGATTATGAATTACATCCTAGCACAAGGCAAATGTAGCAAGCTTTCACCTTTTCAAGTGGCAGCTTTTTCCTTCTGTTTTCTAGAATAAGGTAGAAATGCTGTTTGGAGACAAAATTGACCAACAGACATGGACAAACAATGGAATCTCCTCAGAGCAAGAGCTGCAGTCAAGTCTCCTCACATTTGCTTGCTCGCACAATTTGAACAACTGCAGCTTAACTGCGGCCAACCTGTTTAATAGATGGAAGAACTCCAGTGGGACAGAAAGGTAAAACATAAAATGATTTCTTGGTTTGATACCCCTGTACTAGGCTGTGCAGAAAGTATTTTGTATTGCTTGGCTACCACCAGATCAAGAAGATGATACTCTCTCTTTAAAAAAAATCTGTATGTATGTGGGAGTGCCATGCCATCTTGACATTTTCCATTTGTTGAGAAATCTAACTATACGTGTGCAGTCAAGCCTGTTTGCACGATTGCCAGCAGCCTTCTGTCACTTACTTGTGCAGTCTCCTTCATAGGCACTTTTTGCTGTAAAGGCTCCTTGATCCCATTGCAGCCAAATGTAAAGCAAAGTGGTGCAGTCCAAAAAGCTGTAAGAGGACCTGTATGTCACCACTTGATAAGAGTTCTTGAGCTTTACAGCCTTCCGCTTCATGTCAAGGGAAGAGATCTTCCTAGCTTTGTAGCTTCGTCAAAGTCTGCAGACATTTCAGGTACTTTATTTTGCAGCATTAAGAATCCTTCTCCAAGATGAGTCCAGCAGCTCAGTCCTGCTTTTGTTTCTGTGCTGAGCACAGTAGCAAGACCAGAGTCCCAGTAGTGGGACAAGGTACTTACTCCTGATCTTTATTTCAGGGTGCAGAACTGGTGCTGATGTTTCAACATGGGCCAGGGGTCAGGAAGAAGGAAGCCTGCCAGAGCCAGACAGCATGTCCTAAAACTGGTGCACTGCACCCTCACTTAAAGGCTGTAGTAAGGGGAATGAGGTCTTCACTTTAGAGACACGTAGTGTGGAACACTCCAGCTCTGCTAGCCTTGCCTTGATTTACTTGTGCTGCAATACTGCACCAAAGTCTGGGATGAAACTGCCCATCGATCCAACCCTTGAATCATTCATTTCATAGCTATCTGTTTCTATGGCCATTGGATACTTTATTGTTTATCATCATGAGTTGTCTGAGTACAGACGATTTGTGAGCACTTGAAAACCTAGAGTCAATTGGCTCCCTGCCTGTTGTGAGTGGCCCGAATAGCTACTGTCTCTTGGCAGTTGTTCAACATGGCATTTGTGGTGATATGCCAAGAGTGGCACTCTACATATGGTTGCAGTTGCTCATGTTTGGCTCAGCGTGGGCCAGGAGCCAACCCATGCAGGCTTTTCGGACACCAGCTGTGTGTCCTAATGGAAATGCGAGCCGTTCTTCACTGTGCAGTGAGCCATTTGGGGGTTGGGGTTATTTTTCTTTTTTTCAGTTTGCACAATGAATTGTAACTTTTAGTAGTTTAAGTAAGTTTTTGGTTCCTAGTTACCCTGTTTCTGAGAAGTCTCACAATGTGAACTTGTGTGTCCTACAAATTACTCTATCAGGTTAAGGACTCTGAGGAGAGTTAGCATTCAAACTGCTTTAGCAAATGCTTTGATGTGGCTGTGCTCTTTAGACTATTCTCATGAAGGTTTGCTTGTGCTCTCTCTCTTTTTTCTGTAGCCTGCCAACAGATGTTATGAAGATCATATTCACAGCTGGAGCAAAAACTGAAGCTGGCTGGAACTTCCTTTTAAGCATGTATTCCACTTCAGTTTCTGAACCAGAAAAGCTCAAAATCCTCGAAGCATTGGCCAGCACGGATGATGTTAGAAAACTGATATGGTAGGAAGCCATCCCTCTACACGCCTCACAAAAGAAGATGCTGAGATTTGCCAGCCATTCATTCGCACTTGCCTAATGATAATTACCTTTGGTTAATCCGTTGTTTACTGCTGCTTGTTGCTTATTTTTATATGTCAGTAAAAAGGGAGGCAGGAAAATATGTGAACATTTAATATACCTTCCCTTGTCCTTCTACACTAGCGAGAAATTTGTACTGTCAAATCCATTGACATTAACGTTAATGAACGGATGTTCTTCCTTAGCAGCATCTGTCTCTGGAGGAATGCTTGCTTTCTCTCCTGGCTTATAGACATGTATTCTCATATGTCACATCAAAATGGAAAAAAAACAGGTTATGATTTCTCACGCTATGCTTCCTTTTAATTGGAATATTTAGAATTATATAATGACAAAGGAATTTAGAACTTTGAAAGCTTAAGTGTTCCAGTCCTCACTTGCAAACCAACTAAAGGTAGGCAACCTTGGCTAAGAATATGCAAATAGAGAGGGCTTCTCAGCCAGAAGGTAGTGCTACTTTAGGGTTCTTCCTAATCATAATGAACCGTCAGGTCGTCCTTGCATGTGTTGAACATGCTCATTCAGAGATGAATGCATGCACTGGCCCTACTGCATCACCACACTGAAGCGCCATACATTGGAGATCCTTTCTGCTTGAATACTAGAGTCTGCTCTATGTTTTTGCCAGAGGATTCAATGTACCATATGTTGTAACTTGGGCTTCATTTATCAGGGTTTGAACAATGTACAGGGTTCCATGTAGGAGTTTTGGCAAGACTCCTGAGTGACAATCCATCTAGCACAAGAGACTAAAGAGATGTTTAGTCTCGGCACCAGGCGAAGACCTTTTTATTCAAATGTCATTTTAACTGTTAATAGTATTTATTTATTTTATTCTTTGGCCAGGGCGACTTATTTTATACTGTTAATTTATATTATTTTAATTGAAGTTATTTATGTTTGTGAGCCGCCCTGAGGCTTCGGCGAATGGGGCAGCATAGAAATTTTCTAAATAAATAAATGTTTCCACGTTAGGGCTTGAAATATTATACCAGATATTTATTATGCAGCTGAGTGTCATTCATAGTTCCTGAATTATTTTTATCTTGTTCAGGAGGCAAATAATACAAATCTCTGAAAAGTATGTATCTAAATATCTCTGTCTGTTTACCTTCATAGGTTAATGAAAAAAAGCCTAGAAGGCAACATTATTAGATCCCAGGATCTCTCAACTATTATAAAAACAGTCAGTCAGAATGTTCCAGGACACTTGCTGGCATGGGACTTCGTCAAAGAGAATTGGGATCAGCTTATAAAGAAGTAGGTTTTCATAATGTTTATTTACTCTCTTTCTCTCCCCCTCTGCAAGTTACACAAGTTAGTTGCAGAGATACTTCTGTAACTTGTAAAGCATCCTGTTTAGGTCTTGCACTAGTTCCTTGCAACTGTCAAATTTTCCCTTTCACTCTGCAGAATTATCACTTCCTACTGGAAAGACTTCAGTGCTATAGTATCTTCAGTGTAGAGGCCCTTTGGGTCACTGAAGTTGTAGTTAATGCAAAATATGACAACTTGCCAAAAGTAGTTCACATTGGTGCTTGAGAGCCTTTAGATCGTTTAGTCCTACAGATCCAATTCACCTGTTCTGTTGTGACTTGTAAAACACATGAAGAGGAATTCTTAGAAGGTTTTTCCTAGCTTTAAGATTCTCTCTGCTCTGAAGTTGTGAAAAATCCTCAGCATAGCCAGAGACCCTGTAAAAGACCTATTTGTATGGTAATTACCTCTTTTGTGTGATTGATCTTTTAGTGATTCAGGATAAGCAAACTGATCTGAATGTTGATCTTTTATTTAAATATAGTAAATAGTGTAATTCACCATGAGCCTTTAAAGTAGGCCTGATAAAGAATTAATCAATTCTTTGAATAAATAGTGGCTGGTCTGTCTGCATTCATTGTCCTACATTTCAGGTTTCACCGTGGATCATATACCATCCAAGATATTGTGACTTCAACAACTTGCCTGTTCTCAAGTCCAGAACATCTGCTTGAGGTTTGTTGAATAAAGTACTTCAGAGAAAAGTATTGCAACTAACATAATGACAAGGCAGGATTCTAGATAACAGCAACATATTATATAAGCAGGGTGCTTGAATAAACCATAGCTTATGACTCTGGCTTGTTTGAGGAGATATAAGTCAGAACCCCCAGTTTAAGACTGCAGTAAACCAGAGATGGATTGTCTGCATTTTTGTTTAGCTGCTTGCCAGGAGAAGCTGAGTGGGAGCAATCAAGCAGCATGCATCAGGATTAAGAAGAAGCCAGGGTTTTTAAAAGTCTTGGCTTATTGTAGTGTGTAAACTTGATAGAAACTAAGATTCTGTACTATAATGTGCTGTGTTGTCTATTAGTGTTAACGCAGATACATTTTTGGTCGTCTGTAATCTGGGAGTTCTCTTCCAAAACTTGAGGAACTACTGTTCCTAACTCTCCATCTTACTTGTTGGGATTAAAGCCAATTATTTTCATTATCAAATGCTGTGAAATAGCCTAGATTTTGAGTGTAAGTATAACTGAACTAGGGGCCTGCAGGTGGCGCAGTGGTTTAAACCGCTGTGCTGCTGGGCTGGTTGATTGAAAGGTCGCCGGTTCGAATCTGCACAACGGGGTGAGTTCCCGTTGCTCCGTCCCAGCTCCTGCCAACCTTGCAGTTCGAAAGCATGCAAATGCAAGTAGATAAAAAGGTACCACTTCAGTGGGCAGGTAACAGCGTTCCATGCACTTTGGTGTTTAGTCACGCCGGCCACATGACCACGGAGACTGTCTGCGGACAAATGTTTCCTTCCCCATCATTCAGCCTTACATGCATTTTGTATAACATCCTGTTATATTAGCTAGGATGAATAGAAGAAAGCTAATTTTCTTTGTCTTTAATATTTTTTTCACATGTGTGTTACCTCAGGTTAAGACATTCTTTGAATCAAAGTCAGAGGAGACTGCTCAACTGCGGTTTGTCCAAGAAGCCATTGAGACAATTCAGATGAATATTGAATGGATGAAAAGAAACTTGGCAAAGCTGGTCAAATTGCTATAGTGATCACAGTTCCACCAGAGCGTGCATTAGCTTCTTGGAATGCTGGAACACTTGCTCTTTTGCTTCTGCAAAAAGCTAGGGTTGAAAATGGGCAATGCAGTTTTCTTTGCACTGTAAGAGGGTTTTAGTTAGCTCAGGGTACATCTCTTCCTAAGCTGGCTCTCCTTGGAGTAGTTATGGACTGGACATAGATACTAATTAAGGGAATGTTATTTCATTGACCAAACATTTGCACACAGCAAGGACAATGGCCTATAAAATTGTAGTGCAACTCCCTTCCATTTCAGGAAAGTCCAGTTCCATTTTCCACATGTTGAATGAATGAAAAACAAGAGAAAGCAAGACAAGAACTCTCCTGAGAGCTGCTTTTTCTTTGCAAAACACTGTTTAATTAGCCTTCCTCATTGTCTGTAACTTCTTGAATTGGAGATAATAAACCTGCTGTGACGCATGTTTTTTTTTAATTACCATTATTATAAACAGCTGCTAAGACACACATAATGGAAGTAAATAAGTCAAAAGTTGGATTTTTGGGAGCTCTGGGTTTTGTTTTATCTAAATGTTTTCTAGAAATTATGCAATTATCAGAAATATATATAGATATGTATAATTAGTAGAAAAAATATTTTTGTCTGCAGCAGAGCTGGGTGCTACTGATACCACGTACAAATAAGACAAATAGCTTTTGTAAAGACAAAACGTTAATGTGGACTCACTTAAGCAAAAGAATTATGAGGAACCAGCCTGTACACTTTGTCAAGCAGAATTTAAACTGTAGTTTGGAAAAACATTTTATATCAGGAATGTTGTGTCCAAGATTTTCTGGAATAGTCCTAAGAGTCTACAATTTACTTTTGTAAATGTCATTATTTTCCATGAGCAATACCGCAGCCTGTTATGAAGAAGTGTTTCTTTGTTGGTGTAAAATGCTTGGAAATAACATTCAGTCTTGCCTGCAAAGGCTGCAAAAGGTCTTGTAGTTGGTTCAAAATTCTGTGTTAGGAATTTTCCGGAATGTACCTCCCTTGTTCAGTTCTCATTTTCAAATATGTGCCAAACAGTATGCAGTACACTGTGGCAGCAGTTCCAAAATAATCAGTCCAAGAATTCCATGGCTTTTGTGTCATTTCGTACACTGAAATTCAGATGTTTTATACTTTCCTGTAAATTCAGTTCCTTCAGGAAGCAGATTCATGTCTATGTTTTGGCCAGAGTCAATGATTTTCAAGCTGTGGGACATGTCCAAAAACCTTTCATGAAAAGCAGTATTCAAGTGTAGAATCACTTGAATCATCCCAGGCTTGTGAAGCTCCTCTATATGGATTATTTTATATGCCAAAGTATATGATGAGACACTGTTTTCACCAGCAGCCCCCTTTTTTCCTGCAGAAGGCAGGGTATGTGTATAGTGATCAGTACAGTTCTACAAGCTCTCTAACTAAGAGCCTTCTATTTCGGAAAAACTGAGCAGAGTAAAAGTAGATGAAAAATTCAAGGAGCTGAATCCATTTGAACTATTCTGCTGGATTCCCAGGTATTTGGAGGCTGCTGCACATTCAGAATTTCTTTCCTATTTTAGTGTTTTGTGTTGTCCAAATGTAGGATAGAAGCTTCATAGGTCTGTACAAAAGCACCTTTGCCAAGTAAGCAGTCAGCATAGAAGGATGGAGATGCCAGCCTGAATCCAGCCTTCAGTTTGATAACTGGAAGCCCTCGCTCCCTGCACCTCCACTCAGAAAGATTTAGTTTGGCCAGGCAGAAGCTGATGGATTAAGCTGCCATGCTGAGGGTTCTCAACTACCTCTGCCTGTATTGCTTTGTAGCTATTCACTGGAATAGTGTTGAATGGCCTAGAGGTGAGGTAAGCAAGAATGTGCAAAATCTCTGGTGGTCAGCATAGGAGCTAGGGTTTCTTTCTAGTTATTACTGGCGGGCTGCTTTTCCCTGCTGTTCATGATAGGAGGGAGTTTTTGTGTCTAATCAGAGTAAGAACCATCAGATTTTGAGCCATGTCCTGAACTATTCCTATACTAACCAATCAGACCAGGAGCACAACAGGAATGAGTAGTTCCTAAAATAAACACAAAAATCAGTCACAGTGCTACTGGGGGCAGGTTAGTGTTGCTTGGACAAGTGAGATTCAGTGATCTGCCCAGATCTGGAAATGACTGTTACTGCTTGTATTAGGAACCACTAGTTCTGATTGCACAAGCAGCCCATCTTGCTAGTGCAACAGACCTAGTAGAGGCGCAGCCACAATATAGGAGGCTTTCCTTCCCTTCTTATTTCAGTAGGTACTCAGAAAAATTATATTACTGCATGGTGCTTTGCCAATGATATAGAGTGGAGTACAGGCAATTCTTTCAGATGGCTTTTGTTACTGTTTTTGCTTCATACACTTATCCTAGGTGATCCTCATTCATCACTCAGAACCAAATCAAGCTACTTGACCATGAATTCGACATCAAATTGCAACCACTAAAAAAGATTTGCATTCATATTCTGATTCACAATAAATGTAGCTTCATAGTGATTAAAATACTCTATTTTCAACTAGGTCAAAAATTATGAAGGGAAGACTGCAATATGCATTAATGATTAAAGGTAATACAATTTTAGAACTTCTGAGTGTCTAATAGATTGGTGGCAAAATCATTAATATTAAGTAGTGCTAAAGCTGGTTGGAAAAATCTCATTTTGATATAACTAAAGGAAAGTATTACTCTGTGTTATCTTTCAGTGAAAGGAGAAACCATCCCGATTGTCGGGGAACGTGTTGGTTCTTAAGCTCTCTTCCTGATCTCTACTCCTCTCCTGTAATTTTGTCCTGTGCATTGCTCCTCTTTCACTTTGTTTTTGTAGCAATATTGGTGGGCAGAATTCCGTAGAATTCTGTCACCTAATGCTCTTCTCTGATCATGTGCAGATAGGTAGGTAGATGTGCTTGCTACTGGAAATGTGAACTGTACTTGAAATGTCATGCACATTTTTAGAATTAAGAATACAGTGTTCAAATTAAAGCACGGTTACTTTATGAATATTTTTCATGTATCTTTTCAGTTTTGAATATGCTCTATGTCTACTATTTCTTAAATAGCAATGCATATTCAAAATTGCTTTCCCATGATTTTGTCTGGGACCCATTCCCTAATTAAAGCAATCAAAACTCTAGTATCTGTTTCTTTAAAATACAAATGGCATTGTTTGAAGTGCAGAGTACAGGTAATACCTGTTCACTTCATGTGAACTGGTGGAGTTGGACTTCCCCTGTATGTGTGAGTTTTTGCATGTGTGTGAGTTCAAGCCATAAGTGACAGCTCGCAGGGATTTTGTCTTGTCTTAACATAACTTTAATCTGTTCTGAGTCCTTTTTGGAAGAAAAATGCACTGTAATATGAGTTGGCTTTTATCAGGTTGAATGATACTGGGTGGCTTTTGTGGTGTAAAGATTTTTCTACTATTTAGGGCTAATGTCAATAATCCAAGTATCCTCTTCGGTTTTATTTAAAGTTTCTTACTGTGCAGAAGTTTGGTGTTCAAGGTTTGCTCAAACATTTTGTGCTGCTGTGATAGCTAACTTGGCAGTATCCTGTGTGCTATAAATAAAACACAAAAGACATGCAGAAACACATTGGATATTTGCTTTTTCTAAAATCAGTTCTCTTGGTGCAAAACTGCGAGCTGTGTATTCCCCCAACCAGATTTTGGTTTCCAAACATTCTGGGTTTAACGGGTCTGTATGGAAGAAATCTGAATGGGATTGATATTGGTTGAATTTTAAGTTGGATTGTCGTACTGGTTCATGTGCCTTAGAGTGTCTTGTTAGGAATGTGAAATAAATATTGTTAATATTATAATAGTAGACTCCTTTCACAATTGTCTTCATACTTTCATAGGCTAAAGAGAGGTGATTGTTTGTAATGCTTGCTTAGTGGAGGAAAACCTTTTTTTTCAATCTAGAGACTTCTTATTCTGAACTGGTTTTAGTCCCATTGGAACAAGATCATGAATATAACCCGGAGTTCCATGGAGCACCAGTATGTAACCACAGAGCTCTAAACACAGGGGATTGGTTGTTTTCTTCAGAGTCAGGAAATGTGTTGTACACATTTATAATGTCTATGAGGAGCATTTAAGTGGTTCCCTAGGTGTGCATAAAACCTATTGAACTGTGGGAGTGGAACTAAATAGGCTTCAGTCCAAATAGTCATGCTTAATCCGTTTGAGAGTAGCACTTCTAGCTGTTCTCCCCACACACTTGAGGCACTGCTCTAATACGTTGCTGCTGTTTTCACCTGGAGAAACATTACTCTGCTATTTGCATCTTGCATGCACAAACTTGCATTTACTGTACAAATGCACCTTCCATTTTCTTTAAATGGAAACTAGACATGCCATGATTCAATGATGTCTTCATATTTAGCCTGATACCTGTGAATCTGCAGCTGTATGTATATAGGTTTCTTTTTCTAGTTCTTACACTGAATATTCAGACATTGGAAAGGGATGAGGTCTCCAAAGCATACAATGTCAGGAGCAAAACCAACAAAGCTAGTCCTGCTGTGCCTTCTACAAGGTCACTGAACATAGTGAAGAAAATAGTTGTATGTTCAAAGGACTTTTGCTCTCATTACTTAGACAGTGGATGTTACCTTTACTAAGGAAACAGAGATGGCAAGGAGAACTGAAGAAATTTATCAAGATACTTTGTTGGTTGGTGCAAGATACCCTTTCAACTCCCATTCACCCTATTAAGGAAGGGTGAATTTGAAGATATTAGACTTGAACGTTCAAATTGGCTTTCTTCTTGTACAAATTGTAGCAACCAAAAGAATGTCACAATGTATTGAATGACTTGCATGTCTTGCAGTTGTGCACTTGCTAAATGTTGGTCTTTTGAACTACTGGGTGATCTTCAAGGCATTTTATAAAAAGCTGTGCAATGATCTAACTTTATTTCATTGTTTTCTGGATGGAAGAGAACATTCACTTAGGTTGGAAGAAACAGAAGCTTGTCCACTATGCAGGACTATAAAGAAATCTCTGACAGTCACCCAGTAGCATGAAACCCATCAGATGTTTAAGGAGCAACTATTTACATTATAGTTCTACTATAAGTGCCTTGAAACGGTGTGTGTTACTGTGGCTTAAAAGTTTCTCCATTTTCTGGGTAATATTCTGCAAAAATGCATACCACACGGGCAATCTAAAGTTGCTTGTAGCCAAAGCAATTGCATATATTTGCTCAAAGTATAAAGCTTATGTTGTCACTCTAGACATAACTAAGCTAATACAGGCTTAATTTCTTACAAATTTAATGCATACCTGCATTCTAAACATAACATCTTTTTAGGATTGTGTGTGTGAGAGAAGGAGATGGTAGTCCTGTAATGGAGTGTGCTACTTTTAAAAGTTGCTACTCTGTTATATGATGCCATATGTGAAATGAGAATTGCATTGTTCAGATAATGCTCCAAGGAACCCGGCCTTAATTTTTATTCGTAGCCCCGTGTTACAAGATGCTGACCCTTTGGAACTGATTTGTATTTATATGGCTATCTTTCACCTGTTCCCTATTAGAACATTCCTCCGCCTGATCGAGTGGCTTTCCTAAATCTTTTATGGAAGATGTTATTTTTCATTGCACTCTCAGCTTTAAAATGTCACTTCCTTTAAGTGTATTTTTGTATGTATTTCACAAATTGAGATCCCTTTGTGAGTGTTATGTATGTATTCCTTTCCATTTCAAAGGTTAATGTCACTCAGAGGCACCATTTCTTGGTGATGATTTCTCATTATGCTATTAAATGTTTACACAATTTTATCTGTTTAATGAGATGTTTAAAGTTTTCTACACATTAAAAATCTTTCTTTGCCATACCAAGTTCTCAGGTCTTAGTCTTCAAGAACTTAAGCCTCCTAGAACTGCTGTTAGTTAAACCTGCAGTTTATAGTAGAAATACAGATCTTTACACGTGACAACATCTTTGATCAAAGGAATTGTCTGGCATCTTTTTTAAGTTAGTCATGGCATCATGTAGCAAATTACTGTAAAAAATCTAAAATAGATTACCTTTTTAAAATGTGGAATGGTATGATGATGATGGAATGGATGATTGAAAGCCACTGAAGACTTTTAATTTACAAAGGCTTAAAAAGGGGCTGGATTTGAGAGTAAATTTGCACCAGATCTATAGGGAGATCTGTAGTTCTGCTGATAACAAGAAGCTGGACTGAATAATGGTAACATCAAAGTAATTCTGGAATTACTACAGGAATTTGAAAAGGGATTACAGTTCTGTGTTTAGTGCTTTAGAGAAATGCATGGTACAATCATAACAAAACAGTAACACTCCAAGTTGTACTATATTTGTCTGGAGGAAGATTTTTGAAAATGGTGTGTGTGTACATATGTATGTGTCTGCGTGTGTGTGTGTGATATATATGTATATTGTATGCAAACCTGTGGTTTTCCTTAATTTGTAAAGGAGAAATAAAGCCTATTTTCTTATACTTTGAATAAGATTGTGTGTATGTATAACCAGCACTGACAGAAGGGCATGTGTATTGCAAACACTGATACATTTTATTTTATTGTGAAATTAAAATAAAATCTTTTAAATACTAACCTGTTGTATATTCTATTTTTACTCTTTACCTGTTTCATCATATTTAAGACAAAGATGATTGGTAAACCTTCAGAAGACTTTTTATCAGCTGTTTCAGTTAAGGACAGGCTTTAAATTGAGAATGATTTGTAAAGGAAGTGTTCCATGGCTTCAGGTAACAATGCAGTCTCAAGGTTGAGTGCCTATGGCTGTATCTAAACCTGTAAATTGGATCTTCTGCCTCTAGCAGATACCAACCTTTCAGAGTCTTTTGTTTTTAATATGACTGTGTTTACTGAAGAAGTAGTTGTGGCCGGAACTGGTGGATTTCTACCCTTCCAGCCAGCTCTGAAGGCCCTTTCTGTTGATCATTCAAAATACCGAATCCCACTTTATTTAACCAAGACTAAGCAAGAGGACTAACCGAGTTGTTTCAGCATCTGAGGCAGTCCCCCATGCCCCTACCTTGGTAGCGAAACCCCAAATGTATTAACATCAATTTGCTGCCTTTTCAAGATACTCCAAATGTGTTGCCTAGTAGGATTGCTATATCTAAAGGAAGGCCCAGCTGGTGATGAGCTGCTAGACCTTACCTCCTTTGCATAGACTTGCTTCATGGTACAAGTGCAAGTTTACCTTAGTTTTTAAATCCTAAATTCCTTGGTTCCCAAGAATCTGAAGGAGCATCTTCTCCCATTTCACCCTGCCTCAGAGGGAAACCCATAAGAGAAACCCACTAGTAGTAACTACAAAAGAGAGGGCCTTTGCTGTGGTGGTGCTCTGATTCAGCAGTGGCTTTCCATGGGAGATTCATCTGGCCACCAATGTTATATTTTTGGGGTTTCTTGGGTGCCTGATGAAAACCTTTTTAATTTATACAGGCATTTGTAAACTTTATTTTTAAGAATAATTTGATTCATATTAGAATCTTTTTAGTTAGGTGAAATAATTTTATGTATTCAATTTGTTTTATGATTAGGCTTTGGATTATTGTACTATATTTTGTTACATTGTTCTTGGTGTAGCATCCTGAAATCCTTTTTGGGATGAAGGCACAGTTTATCTCAAATGAAATAGCTATATATTGGTTAGTAGAAGCTGCATTGTAGCTGGTAAAACCCAGTAGACTAGTTTCAAATATATAATGCCCTAGAGAGATAAATAGAAAAGATTCTGACTTTCTGTTTTCTGCTGCTCTGGAAAACATGCTGATGGATTCATTTTTGCTGTCTCCTTGAAAAGATATCCTTGTACTCATGAGGAAATGGGGATAAAGGTTTGAATTCCTGTGAGGCCATCATACGAACCACACAAGAAGAAACATGCATTTTATAGCTTGTCCATCTACCAAGATCTGATAAGTGTTTAATTATCAGTATAAAATTCAAATCAGCATACTTTTGTCTAAAAGTAAAAATAAATGGTCTGGTACTACCCTCCTCTTCCAAAGTGCTCCCACCTGGGAGTGATAGTGAACCTGGGTTGAGTTTCATGTATCTGCCTTCCAAAATCAAGTCTGTTTTTTGCTCTGTAGCATTGAGAATAGATGATATGTTTAAAACTGGATGACTGATTGGAAAACTTAAATGCCAGCACTGCAGCTATACTAGTAAATCAGAGATGTAAACAGATCTGCCTTCTGCAGAGAAAACCTTTGGCTGTCTTAAATTTCCAAACCTACCCTCTTTCCTTTGTGTTGTGGTTTTGAAATACTCTCAAATAACTGATTGGTGTGCACTGCAGTTAAGCTACTTGGCTTTCTCAAACTCTCACTGTGACTCTTCCAAAGTTGTTCAAGTTTGCAGAAGGCTGTACATTCTTTTACATAAAGCAAGAGAAAAGTGATGCTAGAGTGTGTTTTTTGAAAATCCACAGTGGTTTTTTAAAAATCCACAGTGTTATTGAATGTGACCAGGAGATCAACTACAAATTGCCAACATCTGAATTTCAACACTCATAATCTTAAAAGTAAATTATTCAGTAGCAACATCAAAGTTTTAACATTTTTCTTCTCTCAGAGCTAGTTGTGCATTTAACCACCGTGGGTTTGATAAAGTTTGGCAACATGACTTCTGTTCGCAACCTGTAGCCTCCCCCATTTCGCACAAGACCTTTCACTGCCATTAAGCAGCATTTGCTCAGTCGTGCCACTTGCAAGACGAATGTCAGGGGCTGTTCGTTACTTGTTGCGGTCACCACTTGAGGCTTCCATAAATCCCTTGATGTGGCAGTTGCTGCCATGTGGTGAGCCAGAGGGGCTCAGGAGACAGATCTCACTGTGGTGAGAAAGCTGCCTGCTCTGACTCGTGAGCTGCTGCAAAGTAAGGTTGATCAGGTGGTGACAGCTGCCACACCATGAGCAATAGTTCGTATTTTAAAGCAGGAGATCTGAAACACTTCATTACATCTCCTTTTCACAGGAGATTGGAGCACTTTCAACCTAAGGGCTGAATGCAATTTTGGAAAAGTTCTCAGTGGCCACATTCCAGCAGGGGGTGGGACCAAGAGCAAAAGGAGGTGGGGCCAAAGTACAAACGTGGCCATTGCGGAGGCCTGCCTAGGACTCCCTGAGCCTGAGGTTAAACAGACTGACTTCATCACATTTGTCCATGGCTCTTCTTCCAGGATGCACATAACACATCTTAATTTTCAGCTTCCAGAGGCAGCTGTGCTTGTTGCACATTAATTCCACAAACATCATGGGAAGGAGAGGATTTTTACTCAGGTGCCAATGGTTCAAACCTGATCACCACCACTCTAGTTCATTGGTTTTCTATCAAGGTAAAGCACCAATGAGGACTTGGAACAGGAGACTGCCACATATCCATTTGCCAGTTACTCCTTCTAGATGACTTCTGTAAGAAAAGATTGGGTGGGCTTGATGTGCAGAAGGGTAGCTATGCTAGTTGCTTACAGCAAAAACCACATGAAACCACCAAAACCACCAAAAGGGTTAATGGCACCTTCAAGAATAACCAATTAATATGTTCAGTGGTACTGCTATTCAGCCTGCTCCAACATGCACTTTTCCAAGTTGTATTGGACTACAGCTCTCATCATCCCCAGGCAGCATGGCCAAAGAACAAAAACATACTGGTAGCTGCAACTAGTGCATTTTTATCCCACCCTGACTCCAAGGAGCTCAAGAGCTATTCACCCTCTTATCTTCACAAGAACTCAGATTCGAACCTCACAGATTAGGTTGGGTCAGTAACCTTGTGGAACTGAAGTAATAGCTTCTTAGCTGATTGGGGATCTGAACACAGGTTCTACTCCAAAGCTTTAACCCCTGCAATATTAGCATTTGCTGTCTCAAGGCAAATATTGTACCACTGCATGTAAATCATTTTCATTTTGTCTATATGTTCTACTCATAGTTTGAAGGCTGAACCATGCTAATTATGGTTATGCAACTTTCGCTTAGTTCCTGTTAGAGGGAATTCCCCACCCGCTTTTTGCTGATATTATCTTTCATTGCCCTCTGAAATACAAAACAACGTTACTTCATCTAACCATACGCTTTTGTATGCATTTATGTATCCGGATGTATATGTTAACTCGTGGAGTTTCTGTATCATGTTTCATAGAGTTATTTCACTCCTCCACATGGTAAATGTTACTGTTCCACATTTAGCAATATTGTGTATTTAAAAATAACAAACCACTGGGCAAACTTTTAAACACTATGGCATTTTTCTAGTTTTATTTAAAAGCTGGCAAATTTGGAAAAGAATCTCTCAGGACCATAACACAATGGAGGCCAATTGAAATTTCTTTTGCATCTTTCTACAGTGTTAATGAAATCTCCCACCATAATAGAAATGACATTGTTGAGTTTATTTTCCCATGTTTAACATCCAGCTCATCTTCCTACGAAGTTGGCACTGATCCTCCATCCCAAAGGTTTAGACTCCAACCATCAGAGCTCATTTTTCCCAAAATCTGAAGTCAGAGTTTTTCAAAAGGCGTTCTCAATTTTTAAAAACCAAACCTTTAACATAAGAACATAAGAAGAGCCATGCTGGATCAGATCAATGGCCTTTCTAACCTAGCATTCTGTTCCCACAGAGGCCAACCAGCTGCCCTACTTGAAAGCTACAGTCTAAGCAGCAACAGCATCTGCGGCCTCTTCTCTTCTCCCGCTCCTTCTGATTCAAACCTCTTACTCACCACCCTGCCCTTATTCCCACCCCTTTGGACTGAACCAATATTTCATAAGGGTGGTGGTTGTTGTTAGTTGCAAAGTTGTGTCCAACCCATTGTGACCCCATGGACGCATGGAGTCCAGACTTTCCTGTCCTCCAGATGGAGGAAGGTCTCCATTCCTCCAGGCCTTCCTGTCCTCCACCATCCCCAGGAGTCCACTTAAGCTCACACCAGCTGCTTCAGTGACTCCATCCAGCCACCTCATCCTCTGCCGTCCCCTTCTTCTTCTGCCATCTATTGTTCCCAGCATTAAGCTCTTCTCCAGGGAGTCCTTCCTTCTCATTAGGTGGCCAAAGTATTTGAGTTTCATCTTCACTATCTGGCCTTCTAAAGAGTAGTCAGGGTTGATCTCCTTTAGGACTGACCAGTTTGATCGTCTTGCGGTCCAGGGGACTCGCAGGAGTCTCCTCCAGCACCACAATTCAAAGGCGTCAATCCTTCAGTGCTCAACCTTCCTTATGGTCCAGCTTTCACAGCCATACATTGCAATTGGGAAAACCATAGCCTTGACTATACGCACTTTTGTTGGCAGGGTGATGTCTCTGCTTTTTAGTGTGCTGTCTAGATTTGCCATAGCTTTCCTTCCAAGAAGTTATACACTCAATAAGACTGGATGTTAATGTCAATATTACGGAGGAAACATTTCAGAAAAGCCAGGAAGCTACCAAATGATTGATGGATCGGGGAAAAGGAGATGGATCCTTCAGGGAACCCCACATGGCCAAATTGGAGTGCCAGGAGGATCAGATTTGGCCCTGGGCCCTTGCTTTGCACCCCTATGGTCCTTTCTGACAAGAGCCTCCAAACTGGGCCACCTCCAGACGCCAGAGTACCTGTGTGAACATGTGCATCTCACTTGTGCTTCAGGTACAGAAAATGTATAAATTAATATCTGTGTCAGGCAGGCAAAAAGGAGTGGATGGAAGGGGAAAATATGATAAACTGACAAAGGGTAAGAGAGTTGTTGCAGATCAGTTGACATTGTGGTGGTTCTGCCTGCCCCTGGCCTCTTTGTAGTCTTAGTTGGTTTCAGACATCTCCACATCATAACTACTCCATTATGATATAGGCAGAGACAGCAAGCATTTCACTTTGGCTGGGTGGCTGGATGGGGCGGGGGGGGGGACTTTAATATCGTGACCAATGGTGAAATTGGAACAGAGTTGGTAAGTTTTTAAAAACATGCAACTAACTTACCGGCTAGCTGGATTGTGCTGCTGGTGGTAAGGCAACACCGTGTTTAAATTTTTTTGAAGTCCTGATTCCTTAACCAAGAAAAGAGTGTTTTATGTTAATGAATAAGATGACTAAAGGAATAATTTCTTTCTAAATGCAGCAAAAGGTTGGCACCTGCAATGTAAAAATAAAAAGCATTGATTACTTTGGCAGAGAGTTTCTGCTTCTGCTTCTTTATATAAAACACTGTGCAGTCCAACTTTCTCTAATTCCATTTCCAGTTGCGGCATTCTCTTAGCCTCCAGAGCAAAAATAATCTGGGAAACGAGATTAAACACAGTCTTATGTATAACCCTACCAATGCTGTTGGCATCTTCTGCTTGGAGCAAGGTGATGGTGAAATTGCATTCTTCTCTTAATTACCTCTTTACTTCCTGCACTTTATTACACTAATGGTCTTAATTTGACCTTGGCAGGAAAAGGAAAAAAGGCAAGGTAAATAAGAACATTGATATCTCAAGCAGCTGCACTGCAGCAGTCAGAGGAGCTCATGTCCTAGGATTTCTTATAGTATTTTCACAGGTATAGGGATTAGATTATTTTGTTTTTGCCTCTTCTTTTGAAAGTCATGTTTACCTTCATGGCTCTAGATTCATTGTCAGCCTCAAGCAGGCCTCGATTCTCTTTAGGTAATCAGGTCTTCACCACCTATAGGCTGCGTTCACACAACATGGCAAGCTACCCTGCATGGTTACCAGGGTTTGCAGTTTTTTACCATGATATACCTGCTATGCAATCAAGAGGCTTCTACTTTACCATGGTTTGCATCCTCCCTGTTAAGTCTTCCCACTGTTAGTGTGTATCCAATCAGCCACTGCGCCTGACATTCAATCCCAAGATGCATCACTGTCTGACTATGTCACCTTCCTCTTCCGCACTGGTCCACACAAAGAAGCTAGATGACTGGAGTGGCTCCTGCGGTTGCCATTCTTTCTAGAGGACTCTGTGGTAGTTGCATACCAGAATTGTGGAAACCATGTTTCTGGGTTCAGACAGCATGACAAGCCATGGTGGTACAGAGAAAGCATGGGACAAACCATTGTTTCTTATCATGGTTTCTAAAGACCAAAGTTATCAATGAATTCACAGCAGAATTCAGACAACACAGCAGACATCAATGCTAAAAAGTCAGCATGGCTTGGGTTGTCTGAACTCAGACAAAATCTCTTATATTTGCTATGCTGGTTGAGGTTGGTGGGAGTTGTAGTCCATAGCATCTGCATGGAGCCAGGTTGCCTGCCCTTTGCTTAAATTCAGAAGTCCTTCTCTCTATCCTGCTTGTTGCTTTTCTGACTTCAGAGAACCAGATATAGACACCTATAGTTCCTTGTATAATATATTCATTATTTGGAATGCATATTATGAATGATCTATTTTATCAGCTCATGTTTGTGTGTGTGCATGCAATGGGTGAAAACAATACACCCTCATCCTGGACTGGAAACCTGAACTTTTGAAATCTCCTGCTCTGGTAGTACGTTCAATGACGTTAATAGTTCAAGTTCTTTTTTTTTTTCAAGTTCTTATTTTAGAAAAAATAAAGTTTTATTTGGTTTTTTGTTTAGTTTCAAATAGACTCCCTGACAGTGCTACAAAATAGAAGTCACAATGCCCTGATGATGCCATCTATTTGAACATTTGTTTAGTAGGAAGTGTCCAAATAAATTCTTTCCTTTGTTATTTAAAACTTTTTGAACCCACTGTTCCGTCAGGAGGTTTCCCAAGTAACTTACACAGATTTATAACAAGACAGCCTGTACCTTCAGGCTTTTGGTGTAAAATACATAACAAAAAGAAAAAGAGAGCTAGTGGAATGAAGAAAAGGGCCATCTCAGCCCCCAGTTTGGAGTTACAGAATTCTTATAAGAATTTTTCTTCTGGAAGGACAAGAGAAATCCAGCTCCCCTCAGTTGCTCATTCTCAAGCCAATGCATGGGGCCAGTATGGTCTCTCCTTTGCTGTGGTATTCTAATTGGGAGATATAGGAATATTCCACTTCACATGGCCAGAGGCTATACTTGGTCACTGAAAATAGGTTCTAGGATTAGGTTCAAGGCATAATTTGAAGCCTAGACATCACCAAGCATAATCCCAGCACTTCAGGGACAAGGGGGCCACTCAGTGGCAAGACTGGCTTTCTGTACAAAAGATTTCTATGTGAAACTCTGAAGAGCTGCTGTCGGTCAGAGCCTGTACTGAGCTATACAGGTCAATGATTTGACTCCATATTATCCTCGGTACTTTTAGAGTGCCAAAGCTCACCGGGTGACCCTTCTGTTTAATAACAAATGCAACTGTATTTGGACAGATTTATGAAACCATGTCCATACTGGACGCTTGCCCTTCTTGGCTTATAAAAGCTAGCAGAGAGAAGTTAGCAGACTGGGCCAAGAAGGTAATCATTGTGTCTTTATGAGAGGGAATGGTCCCTTGCTGACTTAAAGAAGCAGTGGTGAGGCCATTCTTGAAGAAGCCTTCTCTGGAAGGCCCTAATAATTTTAAGCTGGTGGCAAAGGTTCCCTTCCTGGGCAAGGATCTTCAGCAGTTCCATGCTTTGATAATCAGGCACTCTTTGATGAGTCTGATTATCTGGATCTATTTCATTTGTAGATCAGGCTGGGTTTGGGGTTGTATATGACTTTGATTGCCCTATATGACAACCTTTGGTGTGAGAGAGAGGCAAGGGAGCGTGACCTATGGATACTCCTGGAGGTCTCAGTGCTTACAATACCATTAACCTTTGTATGCTTCTGGGGTGACTGTCTGAGTTGGGGATGAGTGTTTCTGCATTGTGCTGGTTCCACTCCTATTTGGAGGATCATCTTCAGAAGGTGAAGTCAGAAGCAACTAACAGAACTCTATTTTGAGTTCTGTTTGTATTTATTAGAAATCTTCAGCTATTGAGTAGTACAGACATTAAATAAAACTGCTTTTTAGCATGCACAAGGGCTCTCCTTCACTGATGAGTAAGTAACTTCATATGTGTTAGATGGAGAAAGAGCTCATAGGACTGGCCCTACCATCAGGCAAAGTGAGGTGGTTACTTCAGGTGGCAGATGCTGGGAAGTAGCCAAAAAAGTGGGGGTGGTCAGAGGAGGCCAGCAAAAATGATTCAGGGTTTGAAAACACTACCCTATGAGGAGAGAATGAGAGAACTGGGCATGTTCAGCCCTGAGAAGAGTAGGCTGAGTGGAGACATAATATCCCTCTATAAGTACCTCAAAGGCTGTCACAAAGAGGAAGGTCAAGATCTCTTCTTGCTGATGCCAGAGTGTAGGACATGGAACAATCAGTTCAAGTTGTGACAACCTAGATTCAGGCTGGACATCAGGAAAAGCTTCCTCACAGTCAGAGCAATGCGACAGTGGAACCAGCTGCCTAGAGAGGTGGTGGGCTCTCCCACACTGGAGACATTCAGAAAGGAACTGGACAGCCATCTGAGTGGGATGGTGTAAACTGGTGTCCTGCAACAGCAGGGGGTTGGACCTGATGGCCTTCATGGCCCCTTCCAACTCTACTATTCTATGGCTCTATGAAAGTTTGAGGAGAGCACTATGGTCTTTGAATCAGGCTTCAGGTGTGGCAGAGAATGCTATTTTGAAAAAAAGATTCGGCCAACAGTCCAAATGTCAAAAAGCATAGTTTAGCAGCTCACATAAAGCTCTTCATTTGTTAATGACTAAATGAACATCAAAGGAGAGGACATCAAACAATGCAAAAATGCATTGTTTTTGTGACTCAGAATCCAGTGCTACCAGTGCCAAGACAAGCACCAAGTCCCAAAACAAATAATTGTTGGAGCCTCCTAGAAACTACATTTCCCACAGTTCCAAGCCTCTGGGGGTGGTGTAGAAATGCATTGTCCTCAAAACAGTGTAACTGGGAAACGAAGACAAACAACACTTGCAGGCAGGATGACTTGGCCAAGGTAAGAGCCCTGTATGGCAGAAAATTCTCACTTGTGTAATTGCCTCATTAAATCATGCTTGTTGAAAACTAACCAGAAAGGAACTAGAGCTCAGGGAGTAATTCAGTCAAATTATTTAGAAGTGGTCACCTCACTCATATGTTACTACAAACTGAATGGGCTCCAAGTTTCTAAAATGAGAATATTACACATAGAGCACCAGTGTATTTACATGTTTGGAATCATGTTTGGAGCTGAGGATGTTTGGAATTGAACTGTTGCTATGTGTATCTGCCAGATTTTAGGCTGGGGAAGGCTGGTATAAATGTTTTATACAAGAACAGGCTTGGTGGTGGCAAAATGTTGTTGGGTTTATGGAAATATCTTGTTCTGCGTTCTTAAAGGATGTGGGGTCTAAAACACAAATCGTACAATTGTGAAAAATGTGGCAAGGACTTCATCAGTTGTGCAGCTCTGAGGTACCATGCTCAAGCTAAACACCTTGGGAGAATTCTTTGTGAAACCTGCAGCAAGTACATTTTTCAAAAGAGTCCAGCACACCATGAGGAGGTAAGATGGAACGTGTTTTCTTCCTCTAGCTTTGCTCAAGCCTGGGGTAATTTTTTGAAAAGGCCATATTGTGCCTGTGTTGAATGAAAGATAGATGTATACCACCAAAACCAGTATCGCAATCATTTGCAAAATGCTTTATCTAAAACATTTCCTCTTTTCTTGTTTCTACCCTTGAAATAAGGGCTATCTCTGCATGGCTTCCCAGGGTAGGCCAGCCATGGGGGAACTATAATCACTTTAAAGACATAAGGCCACTGAGGGTGCAGTTCTAGCTATGCATGCTGGGAGTTAAACATGTCTAGGGCTGTGCTGTTTGGTTGTGGGCATCTAAAGGAAGGTAGGATCGCTTCCATACTCCCCTCACCGAAATAACTAAAAGTCTGGCCATCTAAATGATTTTCTTCTCACAGGGAGCAGAAACTAAGGTATTGCTGAGGATTCCTTTGAGGGTGATGGTGCCTTGCTCCTCCACCCCCTGGCAGGATGCTCCTTTCCTAATGGGCTCTGAAGATGGTCTTCTGCCACTGGAGCCCAGCCAGCGCAGAGAGAGCCACACTGGCCAGAAAGGTGAAGGGGAGAGCCCTCTAATTTTGGAATCTCAGCTGTAACCTATCCCATGAGCACCCCAGACAACATCACGAGGCCATAGGATTGTAGCCCCAGTGAACTGAGGAAACTGGAAAGTGCTTGGAAAAAATTGACTTTATATTCCCCTAGTTAAAGGGTAAATGTTTACCAGTTTTGGCAAAGTGATGACATTATTTTGAAAACAAATAAGGAATAGCTCTTTGTATGATTGCTTTTGAGTATTCCTCAAAGAGAAATTTCAATGACAAAATTTGAGAACTTCAAAACTCAATTGAATTCATATTCAGAAGGAATATTTCCAGTTTTGGCCTTATGTAAATGCTCAGACTGGTCACTAGATGTCCCTTGGGGTCACTTGCAGCTCCCACCTATGAATGTTTCTTGTTACAGCAGTTACAACTAACCATTGAAAATCTTTCAAGGCCTCTACTCGCCTTAGATGGAAGGCCCATTCGAGCCCAATGGGACATGGCTACTTGCTACCAGCTGAAGCACAGATTCTGCAGTGAAGCCCTGCATCACCCCACTCCATTTCCGTCCCTTGACCTGCTTGCAATGCCATGCAGGGGCTTCCATGAGGCAAGCAGGAAAGTCCCTGCCCAGGAAACAAATCCATCCACAGTTCTGTGCCTGGGCCAGTGGTGATGTGCAGCAGCCCTGGGATCAATGGACTCACTGAGCCCCCCTTCAGAGGCCTCAAGTGTTATCTCAGGTGGGAGGGACATAGCTGGCTCTCCTCTCCTCTCCTCACAATCCACCAATCCACCTTTCAGCTGCTTCAAGTATGATAGGACAACAAGCTGTTGCCCATACCCGATTTCAAGAAGCATGTGATGGACTCCAAGCATGTAAAATTTTGTATTTTAATCTTGCTTAGATTGTAGCAGAACAGTGACTACAGGGATGAAATGGGTTTCTTCTTGCACCTGTTGCTCTCTAGGTGGTCATTTGCAGGTCCACTGGCTACAGAGCCTGGGCTTGGGCCGCAGGGTCCAGCCCTCCCTGCACCATGGAGGCTGAGCCAAGAGCATTGCTTTTTTCTGATATGTTTTAAAGATGTTTCTTTTCTGATATATGTTTTTAAGGAATGGAAAAGTGTTCCAAATATCATTGCACCTCAGAATGGATACTGTAGAACTGGGAAAGGTGCAGAAAAAGGCAATCAAAATGATCGAGGGGCTGGAGGGAATCCCTTGTGGGGAAAATTGCAATGTTTGGGGCTTTTTGCCCCAGAAAAAGGGCAGGAAATGGAGAACATGATAGCAGTGCATAAAATGACTCATGATGGAGAAAAAATGAATAAGATGTTTTTTCATCCATTTTCATAGCACAGGAACCTAGTGCTGTTCAGTAAACCTGAGTGGTAGAATATTAGGACAGACAAAAAGAGGTACTTCTTCCCATAAGATGGAATTTGCTACCACAAGATGTAGTGATGTTGCCAACTTGGATTACTGTATAAGGGAATTAAACAAATGTGCCTATATGTTACCTCCAGCATTGGAGGCAGCAAGCCTCTGGATACCAGTTGCTGGTGAGCAGCAGAAGACCACTGGACTCATATCCTGCTGGTAGACTTTCCACTGAAACTGGGCTAGGGAGCCCTTTGGTCTGGCAGGACTGCTATTATGTCTCATGCATTTCCTTTCCCTTGTTATTAGTTTCATCTTGCTCCCCATATTTAATATATACCAAGCTCCTCTCTTCTTACCAATTTCCTTTTTAACAGGCTGATCATGAAATGACACCAACTAACAGGCAAAGGAGCTGCTGGAATATGACTCTGAAGAGGGAGACAAGATTTGTGGCCATGCAAACATCTACAACCTGTAGAATGTGCTCCAGGCAGTTTGGAACAGTCCATGCTAGGGAGCACCATGAGAAACAAGAGCATCACTTCACTGCGAGTAAAAGAGGTAGCATTTCTGTTTGGAGCTTGACTCTGAGGTGCTCATATTCTCAAAGACCTCCTGGACTTGAACCCTATTTTTTGAAACTGTTGGTACCTCATCAACATCTCCCTCTCCCAGTTCTCACCAAATGTTCCTACCTGAAACTAAGACCAATGGCTGTGTGAGACTATTGTGATGCCCTCCGGAGAGAAAAAGAATCACGAGTCTTCATTCAGCCATTCTCTCACTTAGAGGAAATGCATGTATGGAAGTATTTCTAGTACTAGACTGTAAGACAGACTGAATATCAGAACCTCAAAGCATGATGAAATCATTCACTATCTCTTCCAATGCTTTAGCTTTTATTCTTCAGATGAAGTCCCCCTCACATCTATCCAAGGTCTGTCCAGGCTCCTTATGTGGTTCTATGAACTGTATCCTAAGTTTACTCATGCAATGAGACTTTGACATCCTCTCCTCCCCTAAAAAACACCACCCCCAAAGTAAAAATTAAATAGCTTTTCAGCATGGTTGATGGAACAGTCCTTTCTCCTTTCTCTATACAGCTTGCTGGAATGGCTGCTGTTTGTGTTTCTAAACTGGCAGTCAGACATGGACAGCTTATATTCAGACAATGCAATACTTTCACATCCCTCTTCTGAGAGGTGTATTTGGATAGAGATCTTCCAGACCTACTAAGTTGCGATGCAGACCTATAAACATTTTTGGATCAATGTAAAATAGCCATGAAACCTGAGAATTTTATCCATCCTTCCTTTTCAGGAAAATGTCTTTTTCCCCTGAAATGCAGCTTTATTTCTCTTTCTATAGCTCAAATGTCCATTGGTTTTAAACCTGAAAACTTCTTGGAGTATAAAACAGCAATGGAAATAACAAAGTTTGTGGAAGCAAAACTCCGACCCATTTCAGGACTTGTAAGGATAGCCTGTGCATCAGAAGTTGAAGGAATTATTGCGTTCATCAAAGAACAGTTTCCATTACCAGTAACGTATGTTACCAAGGTACAGATAATGCCATGTCCTTCCTATGGGTGGTCACAAAAGTCCATTCTTATTCCCTTAAAGAAAGTGTTGCACTTACTGTATTTTGGTATTCCACGTTTCATTCCCTTTCCACTCAATTATTTGTGTCTGTTTGCATGCGGTGTGTGCGTGGAACCGCATTAGATTACTATAATGCCCTCTATGTGAAGCTGCTTTTGGATTTGTTTTGGGAGCTGCAGCTGGATCAGAATACAGCAGCTGAGATGCTATATGGAATAGTTAGACAAATGCACATTACACCCCTGCTGGATGATCCATTGGCTGCTATAAGTTACTGAGCCATGTTCAAGTTCTTGTTGTTGATAAATCACTCGGGACCTAGATAGCTATCTGACCAACTTCCCCAAACTTTGAAGGAGCATTCATGCTGTTGCAGCTAGATTGGTGAGTAGTTTGCTGCAGCTAGTTTGGTGATGAACAGGGTGCAAGACCTTGCTCAGTCTGAGCTGCAGATGACACCTTAAATAGGGATAGATCATAGGTGGCCTTCCAGCTATTGCTGGCCTGCAGCCCAGATCTTCCCTCAACAATCCACTTATGGTGACTTGGGCTGGTGGGAATTGGAGGCCAACAACATTTAGAGAGTCACAAGTTGCCCATCCTTGCCCTATATTCTTCCTGACCCTGACCACCTTTCTCAGGCATTACACAGTGCTGGTCCCCATGGGTGAGATGTGGAGATCCTTCAAGGGATAAGGATTCCCTTTGGAATCTTTTATTTGCCACTCAATATGTTCCCTGTGCCACTGAGCAAGTGCTGCTGAGTGTGATAAGAAGGAGATACCCAGAACTGGGGCAAGGCACAGCAGCTATTTCTTGAGGGGGAGGACTGGTTCAGGCATCTCCAATTTCACCAGTTTCAGGTGAAGGACTTCTCTGCTGGGGATGTGGCTGACACAGACTCAATCCTCCCTGTCCATAGCCTAGTCCTGGCTGCTGCTCGGGGTCAGGATGTGGTGTTAAGGCCTCTTGAACATGTGGCATAGCTTGCCCTTGCTAGCTCATTTCCTCTATAAGCTCAGCTCGTGTGATACACTTGCCTGTGGACAAAAGCAGTGGAGAGAGTCTGAGCTGATCTGTGAACGCTGTTGACATGGGGGTGGACCTTCCCTGCCATTTCACATTAGGTCTCGGTGGATCAAACCAAGCACTAACCAACTTCCTGGTCGTATTCTGCATCACAGGGTGGTTCATATATGAAGGGAACAGATATACAAGAGTGGTCTGATGTGGACATAGTTCTCTTTAGCAATGCTTTTGAAAGTTTAGAAGACTGCCAAAGGAAAACTCCAGGCGTACTAGAAGAGTTAGGAAGAAGACTGATCAAATCTTCATGGACTAACAGGTTTGAATTCAGACTTGTTTGGTACTATTGACTTCATGCCACTAATTAAGTTTCCCGCTATTACTCTTTCCCCCTTTTTTTCTTTTAGGCTAATCATGCAGAAAAAAACACAATTTTCCCTGAGGTGCTTTTTTAAGTGTTATAAAGATTGCCATGGCCACTCATTTGACATCATGCCTTGTTCTGACATGCTCAGACCTACATTATCAGGGGGTAAGTGCTGCCTGTTGTTTGGGGAGGGGGAACCCACTTCCCACAAAAAGCACTTGTGGCATTTTACATTTATTGTGGTTCAGCCTGTAATGTTATTTCCAGTTGCTCACAATCTGCTGGATTTGGCTTTAGTTGAGATATGAAGATAACAGAGGACAAGACAGTGTCATTAGTCTTATGTCTTGCTTGGTGTTAACAGGTTTAAAGGAAAGCTTTTACCGCAAGCTCTACCTCTGTAGTGACAATGATAAAATCCAGCTGTACACAATGGCCCTGCTGAAGTACCAAGTTGAATTTGTCAAGGCATCAACAACAGAGAGGGTGAAGGACCTCATACGGCTAATGAAACACTGGCTCAAAACGTCCTTCGCAGAACTAACAGAGGAAAATAAGTAGGTTGCTAGCATTCAAATATAGCTAAGCTGCCCTTTGTAACTTCAGTTCTTCATGTTTTCCCAAGGCACAACGGCAGATGACATATTCTGTGGATGTTTCTATCTAAATGGACACCCACATTTGTAAAAGCAGAGAGCATATGTGAGAGAGGGAAAGTGATACACAATATCTCAACATAGGCATGCTCCTTGATACTGCTGGACACGTCATAAGGATCGCATGGGTAGGAAATCAAAGGGAAAGCCAACTCTGAGTATTGTTGCTGCTTCCTAGCATGTATGTGATTTATCACTTTTGCGTTTAATCATTTCCTGTGGCAGCTCACTCCATGGAACTTAGTCTGCTCTGCATGTGTGTTTAGGTTTCGCAGGCTCCCCTCCTCCTACACTGTGGAACTCATCACTATCTATGTGTGGGAGCTGGCTGGAAAACCAATCTTCTTCAGCTTTGTACAGGGGGTGAGAGCGGTTCTGAAGCTTTTGGTTCAATATCAAGAAATCTGCATCATATGGCACAAACATTACAGGCCAAATTTTACAATTTTCCAAAAGGTGTTTCTGAAGCAAACCAGGTGAGTTAAACCAATTGCATGTTTAACTGCCTCCTTTATTTCTTCATCGTAAATGCACATGGCAACTGTAGCTGAACCCAAAAGCTTCCATCCCAAAGAAAAGGAGGAGTTTTGGAGAAGTGCAGTCAGTTGCCAGCATTGTTTTCCATGAGATTCTTCATAGGCTTCCACAAATTAACTAGAGAATATGCCTTGCATGACAACTGGGGGAAATAATTATCTGCAATAAATTAAAAAGACAGTTCCTCACAGAAGATAGCTCTGTGGTAAAATGTTAGATAGACCAGCCTTCCCCATCCGGTTGCTGCCCTCCCGATGTGTCATACACAACTCCAATAGGCCCTATACTAACCGGAAAGATGATGGGGGTTATAGTCCAATAAATTTGGAGGATGAGACCAGGTTGGTGAAGGCTGTTACAGCCTATATGTTGTAAGCCGCCCCGAGGCTTCGGCGAATGGGGCGGCATAAAAATGTTTTAATAAATAAATAAATAAATAAATAAATAAATAAATAAATAAATACCCCTCTGTTCTGTGTGATCCATATTAATTATATACTGGAAAGCCAACTGAGTCAATTATAGCTTTTCTTTATAGAATGGTATAGTTCCATTTCCTGTGTCCAATTAAGTGTAACTTTCCATTCCCAGAATATATTAGGACTACCAGTATTCCCATTTTGGATGCTTAAACCATCATAGCTTTTCTCAAGGGTATCATCAAGCTTACAGCTTTATCAGGATGCTTCACCTTTGGCCAAGCCATTCCAGAAGGGCTGGATTGGTAGTTTCTGCTCCTCAGAAATGCTCCTAGCCCATCCAAAGCTCCACATTAGGAGTAAGGAAGGCAACCAAGCACCAAATCCATGTCATGTGAGGAGGAGGAGGATACGTCAAATGGATGAGCCAAGAAAGCTCAATACTATGGACTGTGTTTGGTTTGTTGTGTGAAAGTAGAAGGGGGGGGGGAATGGCGGACATGACTAAACATGTCAGTGCAAAGCAGTGTTGCATTTGCACATACAGTAAGCAGATGTCCACATAAGCAGCTCCTGAGATATGCGTGATGCCTCTTTTTCACAGGCCGTTTGTTCTGGATCCGGCTAACCCAACCTTCAATGTGTGTGAAAACAGCAATGCCTGGGATGAGGTAGCTCATGTGGCAAGGCGGAGCCTGCTAAAGCCGCTGTTCAATGGCCTGCAGGCAAAAGAGCCATGGCTTTTCACAAGGGATTGGTGAACGCCAGCATGCTCTCATGTTCAGCCACCCAGCCTTGAGGTGCTGCGATGGAAAACCTCAACATTAAAACTGAGTGAAAACAGAGGGACAAAGAGTACATTAGACACAACTTCTTTGTACAGTGCTTCTTTGTCTGGAAGACCAATGTCTGTGAAGCAGAGTCCCTTGAATTGGAGAAGGCAATGAGATAAAGAGATAAATAGACTGTCTCACCTTTCCTATTCAGACTTGAAGACTAGGACTTTGGGGGCTGAGTTGAGGGAGAAAGATAAGGATGACAAATTGTGTCCCCCTAGCCTTCTCAGCTCCCTCCAGGCTTTTCTGCAATCCTCATAGTAGCTTGCAGAAACATGGATTTCCCCAGCAACAAAATAGTGTTGTGAATGATCTTTTCTGTAATGCAAAGCACTTTGGATGGCTTAATTTTGAATAGTTAGTTATATTCATTAGCAGTTGACAGTTTTTTCTCTCCCTCCCTCTCTGTCTCTCACACATGAAAACACTCACAACAAGCCACCATGGGTTAATTCACCTGTGAAGGCCCATGATGGATATTTTGCATACACAAGTCTCTGTTGTTTGTTAAGTACATCAGCAACCCATCCTTATAGGACTGACATGGCCCTAGAAGCCATAGTGTGGGTCTCTCTCTCTCCCTCTCCCTCCTCCCAAGTGCAATGGTCTCAGTCTAAATCAAGGCTGTGTGTGCTTACTTGGGTGCAAATAAACCTATACTGGATTGCGACTTCCTGTATGATTAGATGATCATTTAGTTTGGCCCTGAAATGGCCTTTGGGGTTCACTCCTTACAGTCTGTCATGGCAGTTTGTTTACTCCGAGTTTCTATATATAACTAGCTTGACGTGCAGACACTCAAAGAAGAGTGGCATGGGGAATCAGAATGCCACATTTAACCACACCAGTGAGAAATGGCTACATCATCTACACAATCCATATCCCCTGACCTGAAAGTCTGCTTTATGCTGTTCTTTCAGGCATATTGACTTCACAGGGCCTGCTTTGAAAAACAACAACAACTATAAACTTCTAGTAAGTGGTGGCCATGTGAGATAGCAGATGCATCATTAGTGCACTGGAAATGCCAGTGGTGGCCCCCTCCTGGACAGAAGTTGTTAGATACATCAACTTTGTCCTAAACACGCAATTCTTGTTTAAAGATGTTGATATATTGCTGAATTCCATTTTCACATGGGGGAAGCTATCCTCTGTCCACCACACGTGGCCTTCGAGCCCTCATGTTGGCTAAGAAACTCATTCTCTGTGGACGGGAAGACAAACCATCTCCCTTAACCATGCGGTGGACTGAGGACCTCACATTGGCCTTCTGTGAGAAACATCAACAACTCCTTCGTCTCAACACTAATTCTGACATTTGGTCAACCTATCTCAACCTGTATTTGTGTTATGGAACAGGAACTTTGAACATATGTTATCAGTAATACCTTCAAGACCAGATGAATGCATCTTTGATCATTACTGTGTGGCTACATGGGTTTTTGTGTGTTCTTGTTTTGTCTCACCCCTTTCTTCTGTATATGTGTTTCTGGTTCTACTGTTCTTTTGTATTCTCAGCAGGGTTTTTTTTTTTGCTGATGTTTGTTTTGTTGAAAGACTGTAAAAAGGAAACAAAAATTATATTAAAAACAACAACAACAAATAGCCAAGGCACTTTTCCAATAATGAAAATCTGTTCAATTTTTCTGTAAACATTTAAAGTCAAGGAAAAAAACACATAATATAATGCTTGCAGATTTATTGTTCAAGTGGTCATTTTCAAAGATCCTTACATTTCAAAGAGTCAAAAACTCAATTTTTTTTATTAAAGGGTGTTCGTTTGGTTTGGTTTTGCAGTGCGAGAGATTGGTTCTCTGCTGCCATTCTATAATGTTTCAGCTGAAAGTGAATTTAAGCCTTACTTGCTTTAAAGTAGGCCATAGAGAAAACCAAACTGTCACAATAGGGCATTTATGGCAAACAGAACATTCATAATGCACATCTTTTTAGAAAAGTTTCAGAATAGTTTATTTAACAGTTATTTTCCAAATTCAACATGAGAATGTGATCCAATAAAAAGATAATAGACAATGTGTGTTTTTAAATCCAAACTCAAGTTTTGATTCTAATTCTGAATCTTGCATTCCTAAGTAGAGAGGAAGTATTACTTGAGTATACGGAGACTGACAAGGTATTTGCTAGACGGGAGTGGGAAGAATGTAGGTTGAGATCTGTTGATATATCTCTAAATTATTTGCAATATCTGTATTTAGTTAAGTGGCTCATTCCAGGGAATGGTTCATCAGGATCGGAGTAGCACTCAGGCTTAGTCCTACTTAGAGCAGACCCATTGACACAAATGGTATTTAAGTTAGTCAAAACTCATTGATTTCAGTGAGACTACTCCAAGTGTGACTGGAACTTTGTGTTTCATTGGCAATTGGCTCAGTCCATGCATTTGATTCCATCAGGACCAACAATCTCCTGCTACAATATCAATTTGATTTTGGAATTAACCTAGCTTCACCTATCTCATTTTAATTTTACTTGTCATGAAAACAGGAAAAATACACATTTTCCTACAGTTGGGTATGTCCTGAAATGAACAGAATTCAAGCAATTCTTCCCGAAGAAATTCCATCTTGTCCACCTTCCTGAAGGGTAATTGTTGGCATTATAGTTTCATTCCAATGATTTCACTACTCTAAGTCTAAAGGCATATTTCTGCCCTTTCAATCACTGCTATGGATAACAAAGGAAATGATACCCTGTCCATGCTTGCTTATTGCAGGTGTTTCCTTCCTCCTTCCCATACACCTCTGAAATGAACAATGGGATTAAACTAATGTAGTAAACCATTCTGTCAACCTTATTTTGATAATAAAAAGACAATGCCTTAGCTGCTAAATGATTGTTGCACTTTTTAAAGAAGCTGTAAACCTAAGCTACATTTTTAAAAAATCAGAAATGCTTTAAAATCTCTTGGTGACATAGAATTTCACATTGTGTAATGGCAGCTTTAGTCAATTCCCATGGCAGTGAAAGAGGATGCGTAAGTGAGTCGTCCTTCCTCTGAACTTGCATATGAAATGCAAGGACTCCCCATGCCCATGGAACACACACTGTTCACCCTGGGGAAATCTGAGATTTCCTGTTTTGTAGGTTGCATAATATGTTTATGGTAAACAGTTACTTCAGATACTGAAGATGAAACTCCAATAGTTTGGCCACCTAATGAAGGAAGGACTCATTGGAGAAGACCCTGATGCTGGAAATGATTGAAGGCAGAAGGAGAAGGGGACAGCAGAGGTTGAGGTGGCTAGATGGGGACACTGGGGCTGTGGGTGTGGGCTTGGATGGACTCCGGGGTATGCTGGAAGAGAGGAGAGCCTGGAGGAATGTTGCCCATGGGGTCATGAAGGGTCAGGCACAACTTTGCGACTGAACAGAACAGAAACAGTTATTTTATGTTCATTTGAACTATCAAAGCTTAGCATGTGACCACCCAGTCAAGCAAACTTGCCTAGCGATAACCACTTAGGACTAAACTCATACGATCATCATTGGAAGAGGTGGCATCACGATCACTGTAGAGCTGACTTAACGCTAAACCCAATATCTCTTTTTTCTCTTTGTAAAACCGCAGCTCTTGTCCAGCTTTTCTAGTTTCTTCCAGCTCCCTCAGTGCCACTTGTAATTCTTGCGAAATTATGCCTGGGGTTTCTTGCTCCTTCATAAGCCAGTCCAGAGCCATGTGACTTCTCATCCTTTCGTCTAAGTTGTATTGGGAATAGTAGGAAATCACCTCCTGTTTCCCACACCAAAAGAACTAAGAGTTAGTAATGAAATATGACATTACCTTCTGAAATCCAGTACATTCTAAAATAATGTGCTGGGTTTTGTTTTGCATTTTTGCCAATGTATATGGACATTTCAGGGGAGGTTTTGGAAATCCGCCCCAGCAGAAACATGTGCAAATGCAAATTCGAAAAGAACATAACTAATGTTGTTTGAACCAGTGCTAGTTGCACAGGAGTCCTACTTTACTCAAGTGAAATCTTTTATCATCAGGAATGAGCTGAAGTACTCTCACATCATAACTCTGGTGTGACCCCATTCCTCCTGCTATCCTTGCCATCCTGTGTTCATCCTACTTTCTGCAATCATCTGCAACAGAGCTTTATTCTGCCTGTTTGGTTAAATTGTGCTGCGTTCATTGCAAAGTGTGCCATGAGATGGTTTCTAAGCTACATAATGGCTATACATAAGCTAGTGGCACCTGCAGTTCTAGATACACAGACGTTGATATCCTTGAAGACAACCTTGACTCACTTGCATTTAATTCGGGAAGAGTGACCCAATGAACCTCCGAATCATGTCTTCCCAGTTAGCCACACTGTGGGAGATTGATATGCCTGGGGATTCATTTTTACTCAGTGAAAGACAGAAGGAAAGATAATGGCACGCTTGCTGCTATTTTGTGTATTGTTCAAAAACATGTGTTACTTGAAACAGTCAAAAGTCATCTGTCGAAGTTCAGAAGCTGCTTTATCAGCTGCAGCTAGTTACTATTTACTTGCTGTAGTTTTAAAGTTGCAAATTGTGTTTGTGTTGTAAGCCGTCCCGGGGCTTCGGCAAGGGGCGGCATAGAAATGTTCTAATAAATGAATGAATGAATGAATGAATGAATAAAGCTGATCATTTTTTAAAAACACCGGCTAACTCATACTTCAGGGTTAAAATAAAAGTGATGAAATTACAATATAATTAAATATGCAGACTTTAAAATTTGAAACAACACTACTGGTATAATCTTGCAGTTAAAAATGCTAAAGTTGTACTTGCTCACTAATATTTAGTTCCTTTGCAGAGTAGCAACTTTCATGACATTGCATCCTATGCTAACCTAGACCATCATTAATAGGCAAAATTAATATGTGGACATACTTAACTAATGGAAATGCCTTAGACTCAGTGAGACACAGGGAGTTTGAGCAGAAATATCTGTTCAAACTGGGTATTGATGGATTTTATAAGATACATTCTATTTGTGCTTTGCAGATTGTTAGGTGTCTTTCCTTCCATCATCCACTTATTCATGGAATTGGATTTTATTTCAAATTGTTCTGCTTGTGCAAGTGCAAATTTGTTCACCTTCCTAAAAGCAACTATTTTATATGACTTGGAAAAAGTAAATCCACTGTGAAATCTGCAGCTCAGATTCATAGAAAGCTGAACTCATTTGAATCTATTTTGGATTTCTTTGACATTCTTAGTTCAAATTAAATATTGCTCATTCATGGGGCTTCAAAATGGTTGATTCAGACTAGATCGTGCATATGCAATAGAAGGAATAGACTAAGTAGAGATGTAACAAGTATTCCTTTTCTTATATTAGGTTGGATGGACAACTTGTGGTCCTCGTGGTATTTTGGCCTAGAGTTCCCATTGGTTAGGCTTTCTGCAGGTGATGGGACTTGTAGGCCAAAAGATCCAGATAGTTGCAAATGTAGACAATTTCACTGCTTTGAGTGAGTGTTGGAAAGAGTAGATGCACTCATCATGCTGTCTTTTGCAAGAGTACTTACTTGACGAGAACATTTTGTTTCACGCAGAGCTTTGAGGCTTCCATTCCAATGCAGTAGTTGAAAGACTATCATCAGTTCCTACAGAACATAAACAAACAAGCCAATGGCTACTGACAAAATTGTTGTAAAGTAGAATCGCACTGTCATTACGAAAAAGAAATAGGAATTTGCTGTGTAATTCAGTTAAATCAAAGATGCATTTCAACCTGCAGAAGCAACATAAAAGGACAGTTTTATAGGGAAACTAAATCCACAGATATTCTTTGATTTGCACATAAAACAGCGTAATCGCAACCCCGTTCCTGTCTTATTTTAATGTTGCACTTTAAAGTTACACCACTGAGCTTCATGGCCAAGTGGGACTAGAACCCACATCTCCCAAATCCTAGTTCAACATGCCAACCCTTGTATCATTTTGGCCCCCATGTCTTTTGCATCGTTGCTCTATTAAGGCTGCAAACCTATGTAGCCTTGCTTGGGAGTGAGTCACACTGGACTCAATATGACTTCCTTCTGAAGGCCTCTTGAGGCATGTGCCTGAATGAACAAAGGCTTGAAGTGTTGAGGCCATGCATGCTAGTCTGACCCCCTGCAAATCAGGATTCACTGAGCTGCCCTCCCCCCACCATCCAGACTTTGCTGAATTGAAATGCAAAGTCTGAATGGAAGCTCTATTTGCAGTTGCTTACGCACAACCTCAGCTCTCGGAGCAGTCAGGAAGCCTGAGAAGGCAGGGGCTGCAGGAGAGTTTTGTACTCATGTTCATGCAAATGCTGAGCTCATGGAGGGAATTCCAGCTACCCAGTAAGCCCTCTTGCATCAAGATGAACACCTGGGCTTGAGCATCTAGGTCAGGCATGTCCAAAGTCTGGCCCAGGGGCCAATTGCGGCCCGTTTTCAAATTTCGAGTGGCCTGCAGCCGCTTCTCCCCACCGTCTCAGCCTGTCACTCATCCCTGCCGGCCGGCGTTTTTCCCTTCACTGCACAGCGGTTCCTGCAGCTGTCCCCTGCTGCCTCCTGCTCCCTCAAGGCTGGTGGTTATATTTCACCAGAAGATGGCAGTAGGCCTGAGTCAGCACTCTTGCCGCGTGACCCTTGTGACACAAGGCTTGTGTGCCCATTTCTAAAATGGCGACTGTAACTAAAAAAAGGAAAGTTGACAGCGAGGGCCATCGCTTCCAGGACAAGTGGAAATTGGAGTATTTTTCACTGAAATACAAAACAACTGTGTCTGCCTAATTTGCCAAGAGACTGTGGCTGTTTTCAAGGAATTCAATATCAAGAGGCACTACCAGACGAAACACACTAACTACAACAAGCTAATTGGGAACGAATGCGGCAAAAAATGCAAGGAACTGGAAGCTGCTTTAACGGCACAGCAGTGCTTTTTCACAGGAGCCCGTGAGTCAAATGAAAATGCCACAAAGGCGAGCTACGAGGTGGCAACGCTGATTGCCAAGCACTGCAAACCTTTTACTGAGGGTGAATTTATTAAAGACTGCGTGATGAAAATGGTGGAGAAAATTTGTCCTGAGAAGAAGCAA